TGCACTGCCGACGTTTTGATGGATCACATTAAAAGTGAAATTAAAGAAGCACCTTTCGTATCAATTGCGCTTGATGAAACCACAAACTTAAGTCAATTATCCATTGTTTGCGATATGTATTGGATGGCATTCCTCAAGAGCGATTCTTAGGATTTTTGGAGGTCACTAGCGAACGAACTGCAAATGCATTGTTTAAAATTGTTTGTGACATTATTTCAAGTTTAGAATGTGGTTCTAAGCTTGTTGCCCAGAACTACGAGAGTGCTGCCGTAATGGCTGGCCATTTAGGAGGCCTTCAAGCTAAAGTGAAAGAGAAGTTTAAACATGCAATTTTCGTTCACTGTATAGCACATAGACTTAATTTGGTTTTATCGCGAAGCATGGATAATATTGAAGATTGCAAAGTTTTTTTTTTCGACGCTTAGTGGTTTGGCTTCCTTCTTTTCAAAGTCATCGAAAAAAACTCGCGCTTTGGACGTTCACGTTCAAAGAAGGTTTCCAAAAGTTGCTCCGACGCAATAAAACTACAATGGACGTTTAGTGCCAACAGTGTTTCAATACCGTGATTCTTTGATAAACTTTTTTCAAGACCTTTGGGATAATAAAGAAACGTGGGATGCTGAAACTGTTAGAGCTGCTAAAGGGCATTTGCATTGGCTCAAACAAAACTTTGATTTCAATTTTTTGTTCAACATTTTTGCTGAGAGTTTCCCTTTTACTGACATTTTATTCGACATTTTACAAAGTCAAATGACATTGGCTTTTGCATTAAACAAATTGATGATTTTAAAAATAAAATGAATAAGAAACGAGATCAGTTTAAACACTTTTGGAATAAAACTCAAAACATTGGCTTAGAACCTGAAAGAAAGAGATTTAGAATTGATAATGTCGGCGACAGAGAGACCTCCTATCGTCAATTATACGCCGAAATTTTTGATAATATTCTACAACAAACGAACTCTCGATTTCAAAACTTTAACGAATTAAAATTTGTTGAATTGTGCAATTTTAATATTGTAAATACGATTCATCAAAATTTTCATCGGAAGCTTTTAATTCACTAAAATTAAATTATGGAATTTTTTTCGATATTCCAGCATTAAAGTCCCAGTTAAGTATTGTTTATGAAACAACTGAAATTAGTGATAAAAAGACGCCCATCAATGTGTTAAATTTTCTTATAACAACTGGTTTAAATAAGTCCCTTTGTGAAGACGTCAAGTTGTGTGAATTAGTACTAACCATCCCAGCCACAAGTGCGTCAGTTGAGCGAAGTTTTTCAGCTTCAAAGCGCATTAAAAGTTTTATACGAAATTCAACAAGTGAAGACAGACTCTCTAATTTAGCCCTAATATCCATTGAAAAACAGCTTGTTAAACAGTTATCAGAAAATCCAAAATTTTATGACGATGATATTGACAAATTTGCAGGCATTGAGGATAGGCGAATAGATCTTAAGTATAAATAAATGTCAACTGCTGTGTCAACTGCTCTGTCAACTGTGCGAAAAATGCTGGAGAGAATAAAAAAAAAATTTCAATTAAATGTGTTTCTTTTACGTTTAAATAAACCAAGGAAGCTTTTCAATGGTAAGTTTTTTTATAGCTTCTAGTTCTAAACTAGGTAATAAAGTAATAGTAACACTTCAAAAATCTCAATCTCGAATATCCTTAGTACTGAGGAATATAACAAGATTTTGACAAAATGGTGAATGCGCCGCTGTGCTTACTGGCCTGCTGTATTTTTATACAATCGCTTCCCCTTCCAAAAATGTCACCGCCGCCACTGCCCAGAATATGTGGACCATCTTCCGGATTCAGATAGAACACATAAAAATAACATGAGCTCATGCTAATCTTATTAGTTCCCTATTCCCTGGCTCAAAGAATTGATGATCATATTAAAAAAATATTAAATTATTACACCAAGTACTTTAAAAATTATTATAAAAAACAAATTTCCAGGGGTGTCCGTTATGAGCCCGTATAAGGGGGGTCGTAAGGAAAATATTATGAGAACTTGTCATATTATGTGTTATGTCCTTCGAGCATATACAGGGTATCCCATTAGTGCGTAATTGCTCGATGTTTCAATTTTTAGACACGCTTGGATTTGAAAAAGACACACTTTAAACACATTTTTGGAAAATACAGGATGATACGCTTTTGTGTGGCAAATAAAAATGTATATTTTTTTTAAATGGAATATCCTGTATTTTATTTCAATTTTAGAATGATCTGCTAATACTGTATTCAACTCTAGAATATTTCTGAAAAATATTACACGGTTTTTGTGAAATTATCATATTTTAGGTAGATTAGCAATGGTATATTTTATACAGAGGATTTTGAAACATGTTATAAATGTTTGGCTCATTTTAAGTTCAATTTACTCAATTTTTCAAAATGCCACACCCTGTACACTATTTTAGCATTAAATTCGTTAAGAACCTATCCAACTATACCAATACATTAGCCTATTATTTAGGTACAGTGTGTCCTATCAGTGCGTAATTTGGGATACGAAGAAATTTTTAACACAAAAGTTGTACAACCATATTTTAAAATTATTCCTAAACATACAGGGTAGTCAATATTCATTCAAACATACTTTTTTTAAACCAAATACCCTGTAGGTAAAACATTTAAATTAAAGATTCACCACGAAACTTTTAAACTCAAAGAATCGAAAGAAATGTCGTTAGAAATATCTTCAAGTCAATTTATTCAAAAATATTTAGATTTTTAAATATAAACTATTTACACATTTCTTATTGCCGATTATTTAAATCTTCACTTTTTTTTATTGATACTCATTAAATAATTCCTTGATATCAAGAAAATACATCTAATTAACCTCTTGTGAAATTTTCGTAAAAAAAATCTACTATTTCTGCATTTTATTTAAATAATTATTTTGAACAAGGTTAATTTCCTGACCATAGTAGTTTGTGTGAAAAAATAGCCTCTGATATGGTCCAATAGCCACAGAATGATTATATCGTCGGCATACAAGAGAAGGTGAAAGAAATTTTATATATTTTAGTTTGTAATGCCCATGTACCTTAAATTCAATATTATTTATCAAGAAAAAATTAACAACTCGAATAATGCCATAAAACTGCATATAATATAAAATTCCTTAATGACCAAGTCCTTTTTGTAAAAATATGTACAGGAAAAAATTATTAAAATACTATAAACTACTATCGGTGGACTTGGTCACCTTCTCTTGTATACCGACGATATAAGTTAATCTGACCATAGTAGAATTTTATATAATAAGAAGTTCCTTTAGTATATTGGTCACAAGTTTTATTTTTAGTTTTAATGTTTTTTACAATGCACTTCATATGTTTCGAGAAACAATCTTTTCCATCTTCTGGTGCAGTCTATATTAGGGTGATTCATTTCCACAATTTTTTTTTTTTTTCGGTGCTCAAGCAAAATATTAATCTACATATAGAAAAAAAAATCTCACCAAGTTTGAGCTCTTAATATCAATTTTAAGTACTTACTATTTAAATTTATAGTTCTACCATTTAAAATGCATGTAAAATTTTTTTTTTTCAAATTTCTAATGCTTACCCACCTTTTACCTTTTACAATATTGCAAATCGGTTTAATGGACCTCGTGGGGAATTTCACGCTCTTCAAAATTATATTCATTATGAGTGAAAAACCATAATAATTCTAAAAAAGTTCTTAGTGTATGGAAATATAATGATAAACAATAGAATAAATTAATCTAAATAACATTACAAGTTAGTATCTATCAATTTCTTACGTTTTCAGGTATAAAAACGGCTGTAAATTCATTAAATATTGGTCAGATAACTTTTTTATGACTCAGCCCCTTTTTTCCTCCTACTTTTGGAGGTTTGCTGAAAAAAATTGAAAAAAAAAATGTTTTCAAAAACTCTACTTTGACGACTCCTACTGATGAACCAGTGCGAGTTACACAAAAAAACTGAAGCAATTTCGACGAGCATGAAATTTCCCACAAGGTCTATCAAACGGTTTGCATTATTGTAAAAGGCGGGTAAGCATTAAAAATTTAAAAAAAAATTTTTACATGCAATTTAAATGGTTAAACTTTAAATTTAAATAGTAAGTACTTAAAATTGATATTAAAAGTTCAAACTTGGTGAGATTTTTTTTCCATATGTAGAGTAATATTGAGCACCGAAAAAAAAATACTTTGCGGTCTATATAATTTAAAAAAAAAACTTCGGGGTACCATAAACAATTTAAAACTGCTATTCAAGGAACTTTTTATTTATATTAAATAAGTATGATTTACTGTTACTACAATGCAAGTCTATAATGTTACACTAAACGTAAAAAATATATTTTAAAAGTATGTATTTAATTTATTATTTATATTAATTTCAAAACCAGTAAAAATGATGCTACACACTTGGATTTAGTACCTGCAGCATATCCCTATTAAATGCTGTTCTCTATGTAATGTGCTCGAAGGTTCTACCTGAATACATATTCTGAGACAATCTGTATAAAGGTAAATACTTATTTTTTTTTTGTTCTACTATACAGTTCAGAAGTATGTCCCAAAAAAATATTGTATGAAATGATCGTAGAATTCAAGAAAAAAGTTTTTCGTTCCTTTCATTAAATATCTGATACCCCATAACAATACAGGGTATCCCAATGAAAAGTAGCACATATTTACAGAGCTTATAACTTTTAAACAAATCGTAGAAACGTACTGTTTTTGATGATATGTGTTATTTTGCTATAAGTTTTGCTTCAGTGACATAGAAATTATGTATTACCTATAAAGGGTGTTTTTTTAAAAATCTCTTTTAAATTCACCTTAACCAAATTTTATCAAATAGAAACGGGCTACTTTTCATTGGGACACCCTGTATAACATATATTTTAGATTCTCCATAAAAATTTGAATTGTCATACAAATATAATAATATTTAAAATGTATCTACGCCTTAAAATATCCTTAAAAAATATGGATCTTACCCTAAATATTCCATTGTAAAATCCTAAAAACATGGCTAGATTCAGGTTCTGTTTCCTAAATAAAATGTTTTTCATTGTACCAGGAGATTTTACTATTGTTGGCAAATTTAAAACTAATTTTAAAGCTACTTGTAGCCCTAATCCTAAAGAGAACATTCGTCCAGTGCCCTGAAAAATAGTCAAACATTTTAATCAGAAAAAAAACAGAGATAAACAATATTTTTTCTGTTGTATTGAACAAATCATTTATGTCAAAAAATAATCAAAAATTAATGTAGCAGGACGCCTATACAAGGTGATTTCTGATCTGAGAACTCTTTTGTAACTGTGCATAGAACAAATGTTAAATAAAAAAAAACTCAAAAATAAAAAATCACAAGAAGAAAGTTGCAGAAAGTTGCATTAGTCGAGAAGTGCCTTAGTTTTTAGACATTACTTTCCCAAATTAGTGTATCGGTCGAAATGGACCAGTTGCGTAGTCACCGAGGTCACGAGTCCTTGTGAATTTTATTTTTTAGTTTGTTTAAAAATGTTGTTTATTTTAATGACTTCTATACTCAGTTTAAAAATAAGTATCAACTTAGGAATCACCCTGCATAGATACGTTGTAAAATGTTGTAATAAATATTTTATTAATTTACTATGGCAAATAGTTGGTCCGTCAGTGATGATTAATCTTTACAAAAAAACAAACATTTCTACGTAAATATTTATTTATTGAATGCCTGATATATTTATTACCCGCTATTAAAAAAATTAACAAAACAAGCGACAATACCTGATAAAAATATTTACCACTAACAGATCAATCAATTCTGTTTTGTTTTTATTTTTTACATATTTTTGAAATCATTAAAACATCTTAAACGTAAACAGCAATAGTTACTAACAAAATATTAAATCAACTTACAGTTTCGTTCAGAGATAATTTTTCTTCTTTCAAAATTAAGTATCAGTAATATTAATATAACATATACATATAAAGTAATACATACATTCATTATTAGCTAAATAAGCAGTACTATTAAAAAATCCCGAAAATGGTCGATTTTTGATTTTAATTTACTGTTTTTAAAATAATAAACTAATATACAGAGTGAACTACCATTTTTCCCATTTCCAGATTTTTCTTTCTGAGCTGATTACAAAAATGTATCACACATTGCTTAAAATTGGTATAGAGTGTGCAAAAATACAAAAATTACAATTTATTTCAAAATAATAAACAAATTAAATGAAATTACATAGTTATGCAATTACTGTGATAGACTACCAAAAACAACCAAACAAAAAGTACAATAAATGTTCAAATTATTCTCCACATTGACCTCTATATAATGACTTAACCGGGCAATATATTTTTCTCTAACATTTTGTAGCATAGTGGGTGTTATGTTCGGCATTTCTTGCTTGAATTGGACTTATAGCTCACGAATATTTTGAGGTATGTTAACATAGACTTTAGATTTTAAATAATCCCATAGAAAGAAGTCTAATAGGTTCAGCATAAGGATTCTTATGTGCGAACTCAAAATGTTACGTGTTGAATAGAGAGAGTTATTACATAAGAATCGCAGTGTGTCGAACGAAGATAGGCGTCTCGACATATATGCTGTAATGAAAGATGAGAATCCCACTACGTCTTTTCGGATTTTAGAAATTCGAATGAGCCAAAAAAATTGTCATGTTGGGAATTTGTCAAAGTTGTCCAAATTCGTTCAAATTGGTAGGCGAGTGGAAAACCGAAAAGGAAATATGTCTTTGACAGGTATAACCATCGATCTCAGAAACCCTGAGAGCTATGGGTATAGGAAGGGCGGCCCCAGGCTGAATTTTCGAGAGGGCCGGGCCATGCTAATAAAATTTGGATTAGCATATTTGTTTTAATGCCGGACATGAAGGTTTAAACATTTGTATTAGCTCCTCAAACAGCGCTTTTTTTGTCCTCAACCCAAAGAGATAAGCACAAGGCGCATGTAGAAACTACTAGACTTTTTTTTGCGTTCCCCAAGGCTTATGCTGCGTTTAAAAAGTACCTCGTTTTACTCTTTTTACTCGAAGCCGATCTTTTAATACTGTAACGATAGTTTAATTTATGTATAGTTTATTTAATTAAAACACACTATTTACAATTTATTTATGACGTACTAATTAAATATATAATACTTAGGCACTAACTCAAAATACTAATTTATTTATTACAATTTAACTTTTCTGTCCAACACTTTATTCTAAACTATTCGTTCGCCGATAAGTCGCGCTATTTATACCAAGTCCAACTCTGCTACGAGAAGTCTCTAGACGATGTGGAATGTCCTCTAGAATTCCATATTTGACTCAACGTCACGTAGCGCTTGTTCTGGTATATTCGAGATGCGGTGTTTCGACCATGAGTCGAGTGTCAGGCTGAAGGCCGGTTGCTTAGACAGGGTTGTGTCCGCGTCACAATACATATGTGGCTTCTCGATGGGATCTGCTCCGTGGTCTTTTAACGCAGAACTGGTAAGCCAAGTAAGATCTATTTACTCCGAATTAAATTTTAGAGCTTTCTTTTTCATAGTATTTACGTGTTTGGTTATTAAGAGCAAAATATATTTATAAAAAATGAGAGATATGAGAACATGGTTTATTTTCTAACGAAAGCAAAAAGGGAAAAATACCACAGCTAAAATTTAATGAAAACCGGAAACGGCAAACAAACTAATCCATAGCCGTTCTTTTATTCCTCATAAGCTCGATGATCACGTGACTAAAAAATCTATTAGCTCTACTCCGCTCCAGGAGGTACTTTTCAAACGTAGCATTATTCGGTAATAGTAGCGCTTTGCACATACTTTGAAACTACTACACGTTTGATCATGGATCACACCAAAGGAAAGCTCATGGATTGTAACATTGTAACAATTTTAACCTCGGAGGGGGGGGGGGTCATGGAACCTCCACAAAATGCTGTGCATATGGTCACTCTAAATAAAAAACTTATGGATTGTGTAAAAAATGTTCATCTCGGGAGGCATGGTCCCCTGGTCGACCTTGGAGTATAGCTTATCGACAGAAAAAAATCGTCAATGTTATTTTTTATTATTTTCGAAACAAAACCAGTTCATAAATTCTAAATCTGCGTAAGCTAAATAATAAAATGGTAATGGCAAAAAGTTGTCTCCGAACAAAACTATACGTATATGTATATTTAAGCAGAATGATATAAATATTAAAAGATGATCATTAGAACTACCTATGCTTTGCGACAAAATTTAGTCATCGGTGATCTAAACCCCATTAGCAATTAAACATGTCATATTTATTAGAGCGCAATTAAATTTTTATTGGTAAACTGTTTATAAAAAACTAACAAGTAATTACACATAAACATAAAGATGCATAAATTTGATGTCTTTTTTTAATTTATGACCAATGCTAATATAAATATAATTAAAATATATATTACTTACCTCAACAGTATAATACAAACAACTAAATGGATGTTGACAAGCATGGTGTCTATCACAGCTCTTTATTTTGTTTAAAAATTTATTATATATCTTCAACATCTGGTTGGCCAAATTTAAAACGACATTTTTTCGTTTTCTAGTCTGCCAATTTGAGTTTTCGGATGAACTCATTCTATTATATTCAGTTTCCCTATGGAAACTGTTAGGTTGATCGGGTATAGAAGTGTAACCCTTTTGCTCGTAAGGCCCACACACAAACCTATAGGAAAAAAAATTATTCAACTACCTTTTTGAAATAGAGCAGAATTTTGTCAAGCAAAATATTGTTTACCTCATAACCCTAAACATTGGATCGCTATAACAATCATCCGAATTTGTATGTAAACCACTCTTAAAATAAAAAGATAAAATTGCCATACTTATGCTAAATATAGCCACATTTCCATATTTTATATCGCCAACCATATCTCGAGACCTAGCCATATTCCATAAAGTTTCTGTGGCTACATTGCTAACATATAAGGCCAAAAGAGTTCTTCTACTAGGTCTTTCGATAAGTATTGCAAAAACACTAGAAAGAAACGCTGGAATGGCCGATACGGTCAAAATGTTGAAATTACCTAATACTTTTCTGTAAAAAAAAAGTTACTTTTAATGCATTTTAAAATAAAATAAAGCCTTATGCTATTATAATCCCGATAACTTAAAATTATCATATAACTAAAGATCTAGATGTAGTTTTTGGATATAGTTTAACCAAAGACATTACAACTAAGAGACCAAATTGTTTACATTTTATGTAGCAAATTGTTTACATTTTTATGTGGCAAATCATTATTCCCACCAGATTCTCGTTTATTGCGTCTTTGCCGGTTTTATCAGCTTGTAAAAATGATTTGGAGAAATTACTTTTAAAAAATAAAATTTGATGTATCCTACAACTATAATTTTATATTATATAAATAAAAATATGTTTTTAATCAAATTATTCTTTAAAGTTTTAATATAAGCTAAATATTTTATTAAAAATCATTATTAATCTACACAAAATATTAGGTTTGCTAAGAACTCCGTAAATACGGCAACGCTGAATATCTTATTTTAAGAATTTACAACTTTTATGAATGAAATGTATAGAGAAAGTAAAAGTTGAAAAGTCTTTTGGTAGGTAGAGAGGGGGTAAACGTCAAACCACGTCGGGCGACTCCGAGAATTTCACAGTAAATGTTTACCTGCCAGTGTCGTTTCATAGAATAAGTAATTTTAAATTGTTATCGGCGGAACCGGACAATCGCATGTATTTATGGATTATAAATAATTATTAAACATGTATTATAATATTCTAATTATAATTTTACAAAATTTCAACAGCTATTCACAATTTATTAAACTATTTACTCGAAATTGTTATTAACATCTATAAAATAATTTTGTACGCCAATGTATCGCGTCCACTTCGGTGAGATCCGCTGACAACCTGTCAATTTATGTGTATAAAGTGGGAGAACTGGCAAAAGCATTTCCAACTTTTACTTCTGTTCTAGTTACCGTAACCAGCAGCAACGTTGCTAATCGGGTCTAACAGCTATTTTGTCTTTCTGACAGTTTCTTTGGGACTTATTGATTTATTCATTTATAAAATACTATTTTTGTGAACTTTTGTGAGAAATATAAATAATTATGGTACATGCATGTGTAGTGTTCAATAAGGTAGATCATTTAAATCGAAATTTATCCTTTCATCGGTAAGTATTTTTAGGTTAAGATATGTTGTTTTCATTTGAACCAGTGGAGTAGGGCACTGGTTTGGCTATACAATTTCTTGAACAAGATTTGATACAATTTCTTATAAAATTTAAGTTGTATAGGAACACATAGTAAATGGTTTGATAATATACAATTTAAATTGTACAAGAAATTGTAACAAAAACTTATATAGTCTAAAACAGTTTTAAAACAGTTTTTAAAGTGATATTCCTTTTATAAATTAGTAAATTATTCTTATACCAATAAATAATTATTGAATAGTGGCAAAGAAAATTTAACATAAAATGTAGAATACCTTAAAAATGATTTACCTATTAGGCACCTATACATATTTTTTAATATTCTATTTAGGTTTCCGCAAGATCATGAGAAAAGAAAACTTTGGTTTTCTCTAGTAGCCATCCTTAAAAATGAGCCCCTTCGTAAAAACACAGAGTTGTGTTCAGAACACTTTTTTCCTGAATATGTTTTGGTATGTGCAAATGGTGCTAAATATATCAGAAAAGATGCAAACCCCAGACGGTGTGAGGGCTTTCTACTTTTGGATGATTTATACAACAGGTAAAAATACAACATATAATTTTTTTGTTTACCTCTAAACATTATTTATTACCTATATGTATGTATATCTAATGTATGGGTTTTAGTTCTGATTCAACTGCTGCAAAAAAACATTGCAGTAAGTAATAACACTAATAACTAAGCATAAAAAAAATAAATGAAATTTTAGTTAATAAAATTAAGGTATTTAATATATTTAAAAAAAATTACAGTTTTTTTACGATATTTTTTTGTAATTATTAATTAAAAAATTATATATTTTTAGGACAGGCAAATAGTAGAAGAACCGATAATTGGAACAATCTCTTGGGGTTGAGACAGGCCAAGATACTTCTGCGTGAATATAACCAGAAAAGATCGGAAGCCTGCATCGGCCTGAGCAAGAACAGGCTACGTATTGTAACAGGGATCCTTACCGGGCATTGCCGACTAAAAGGACACCTAAATAAACTGAAAGTAGTAGAGGATAGTGAGTGCAGATTCTGTGAGGAGGAGGACGAAACCTCCATTCACATCCTAACTGAATGTGTAGCACTCCATAATCTAAGGGCACTATATCTAGGAGGATATCAAAGAGGGAGATTTACTTCAAATCCTACACTTCCTTGAGAAAATAGGATTGGAAGGGTCGTTATAGGCATTGAGACATTTCCTTGGTACATTGGCGACAGAAGGGGTTACAATAGATATTTTAGGTCGCAGTGTATTAACACCCCATTCCCAACATAACATAACCAGGCAAATATATAGTAAATGCCAATAAATATTAAAAATCGGAAGGTAACTTGAATTTTCTTTTATTGAATTTACTTGTACTTGAATTTACCTACATGAAAAAATCATCATAATTATATTACTAAAAAAATATACCTACCTATTTACGTATTTTTTTAACATACTACTCTGACAATACTGGTAAGTTTAAAACTCTACGCCACTGGCGAGCATATTATGGATACTGTTTACAACGTTTCCAGCCGGTCCTAAGAGATCTGTCTTTCTCTCTTCCACTCACTAACAATTTTAAAACAATAACAGTCCGCAATTGTATGGGATTTATGAATGAAACATTTTGTCTCTATGTTGCATGGTATAAAAAATAGAAGGTTGGATATCAACTGTGTCAAAAATAGGACAACCACGCGCATGTCATCATGCGTAGAGTTTGTACAGGCGAGAATTTAAAAATACTGTCGAAGTATGAGGAAACTAAATGTTATTTACAGAAGTTTCATAAATATTAAAGGATATTATAATGACATCAAATATCTAATTATGGGATAGTTAAGGAAAGAGCTATAAAGGAAAATAAACGCAAATACATACATGAAAGACATATTCATTTGAGGTATCAGTTTTTTTCCTTTTTCTTTTTAATGATTTATTTTTGTTATATAAATTATAATGAAGGTTTAAATTTAGAAGAACATTCGACGTCTAAAGAATAGTTTCTGTAACCAGGATAATGAGAAGGGTATCTTCGCAACATCTCAACTGGGGACCCTGGGTTAAAATTTCTCATCTTGGGATTATTTACCTGATTAGAATTTGCAATTGTTGACTCATTTATCTCCAATATATTACCCAATTGAATATACTTAACAATTTATTTTATGAATAAGATGAGATTTATGTATAAGTACGATAACACAAATAGGTTTTTAAAAAATATTTTTCATGCATATAATATAATGCAAAGCATAAAAATAAATGTACCAAATACAAATAACTGCTACATGGTGGGTGTACATACAAAATTAAAATAAAATGTCACTGCATTTTTCCTGGACCTAGCCACTGACAGTTTTTTAATTCTTTCAACATGCCGAAATTTTATTTTTTTGCGACATAAATAATTTTACCTTCGCTATATATTGCAAAATTTTCAGCTTTCAAAAGGGTAGAGTCCCCAGTTAAGAAGTCCTGAGTTGCGAATGAACTAACGTGAAGGTTTGCTTTGAGGTTCATCTTATAATTAAAAGGTTAAAAGTGCTTGGAGCTTACGACAAATTTCTGTTTTAAATTTATCTGCACAGCCACAGGCCACTGCAAGGGCGTCTTCGTCAAATTTTCCTTTTTTAGTATATTTTTTTAATATAATCCTCATGAAATGTAAAAATGTTAATTAAGAAAGAGGCAAGGTTCCCTGAGACCTACAACTAGAGCCGCCCTTTTGCCATTTCTGACTAACCTCTTAATGTCAAGGAATGTGAAAAACAACGTCTTTCTCAACTCCTTTGCTTTGATTGTTACTGTTACATCCATAATTGCGTACCTCATTTTTTAATGTTTATCACTAATACCACTTACAAAGAACACTGCTTACAATATAATATAATACAAATATTCGCTTAAAATTTTATAAATCACTATTAATAACTTACAAATCACTTCAACGTGCATCTGCCATTTGATATTTACTTGGCGCCAACTCTACTAACTCTACGCATGACGTCAGCGCCGCCATGACACTATGCGCGATATCCCCCCCTGTCTATGTTGTAATGTCTTTGAGTTTAACCAAAGTCGGACCCCTTTGATCTAAAGTGACGCTCACAGGTGGAGAGAAAAACTGTATAGAATAAGTGTTGTAAATTGAAAATTTTTAAATAATTTTTTTAAGACCAACCAGAAAATATACACTTTCTGAACAATTTTTCGTCCAGAAAATAACGTTTTGCCGATCAAGACCGAAAAGTAGACGTTAGAGACCAGTAAAAGCGTTTTTTAAGACCGACCAGAATATATACACTTCCTGAACAATTTTTCGTCCGGAAAGTGACGTTTTGCCGGTCAAGACCAGAAAGTAGACGTTAGGGACCGGTAAAAGCTTTTTCCAACGACCACTTAGGAAAGTGACACATAGCACACTATATGGAAAGTGCCCTATATCACACGCGTATGAATAAGAATTTACTTTCTACCCGTGTGCGAATATGCTACTTTCCGCATCAGCTGTCACAAAATTTCAAACGCATCATTTCTATTTTGATCTATGTAATGTCCATATTAATACTAAAATCGATATGATTGTTCAATTATTGAAATTGTTGTAAATTAGATCCTAGATATTTATCTTTAACAATTATTATTAAAATAATTTTAAAATAACTAAGTTATGTTTGCTTTTTATTCTGGTTAAACACATAACCGATTAGATCATTCAATTGACGCAAGGCCTATTAGCTCTGGTGGTAGAGTTTCTAACTTTATCAACTTTGCCATTTGAGACCTGGCGAGCGACGGCGTTCAAATTCTTGCGGAAGCAGATTTTTTTTTTTATTTTTTTTTTGTTTTTTAGTTTTTTTTTTGTTTAGAAAATATGAAAATTAAATAAATACAATTATTGTTGATTATTTTTTTAAATACATTTTAATTATTATAATAATAACCTGGTTTTACATTTTTTTATGAAATTATTTTGTGGTCGTAGGAAAAATATTGTTCATCACGTGGGAAAAGTGATTTTCCATACTCGTATGAAAAATGTCAGTTTCCACACTCGTAATGTAATATACTATACCGGTCCCTCTTTTTCATTTTCCGATCGCTGTTTGATAATACCGTCTTCCTTTCGTTACTATGGTAACAACGTTCCGATTTATTGCCAAGTGACAGTTTGTTGTTTATGTCAAACTTGTTTTCACAAATTTTAAAATATGAATTCAGATTTTAAATTATCTGACATAGAAAATGAAATAAAATAAATAATTGAGTTTACATCGAAGTGTCGGTCTTAAAAAATATATTGTACGTCACGCGACTGAAAATTAGTGTTAAGCAGGCATCTCCCAAGTGAAATATGCTTGTCTCGGCCTGCAAAACACTACTTTCCGGTCTTGTAACGTAAATTACTATATTCATTAGCTGTGAATTAAATAAAATTTGATGTAAAAATTTGCAAATCATAACTTTTTACGTAGTTTATACGGTAAAAAATGACAAGAGGTATACCAAAATAGGGGAGGACAATGAGACCAGGGCTACGTTAATATATCTTTTATTTATGAACCGATTTGGATCAAATCTGGGATAAATTTACTAAACATAATTTCGAATTGACTCTTATACTTGAACAATATGGCAGACTTCCGGTGCCATTAGGTTTGATTCTTTAAATAGAAAGTCTATTAACTGGAAATTAATGTTCTAATAGCCTCGAATAACTCGAAACAAACGCTATTTTACCAACCGAGTTAAAAATAAATCTTTCAGATAAAAATAAATTTGTAAATCGTGTTTTTTATAATGATAATCTCACTTTTTTTTAATGGCACCTATTGATGTCCATTTCGCCTTAAGATGGAAAATGTTATTACCAATCTAACAATATGCACCATGCACCACTTATAACATTATTTTCCAGTTCATGGCCTATAACAAAAAACATTTTTTGGAAAAAAGTGTATTTCAAAAAAATCAAAATTTGGCAACACTGTCAATGTAATTTGGCCGGTACAATAGGTATGTCTGCACGTAGATTTAAAAAAACATAAAATATCAAACTCAATTGAATTTCCGGTAAAACCGGATATCGGATATTTTGTTTAAGTGTCAATTCGAAATTATGTCTGTTATGTTTGTTCCAAATTTAATCCAAATCGCTTAATAAATAAAAGAGATATTGGCCGTATTCACCGTCGTCGTAAACTATGTTTTAAGAATCATAGAACACGTTTTATAATCGGTTGAGCTGACGGTGAACGATTCATTTTGTTTACGCTTTGTATTCCTAACTACAAACTTTAGACTTGATTTGATTTCCTTTAATAATATATTTAACAATTACCACTGCGTAGTTTTCGTAACTAATATCCATTTCTTTTAATCAAACAATTTACCATTGATTTACATTAAATTATAACCAATTACTTTCAAATCTAATCGATTACTTTCATTTATAATCGATTACTTTCATTTATAATCGATTACTTTCATTTATAATCGAGTACTTTCATTTATAATCGATTACTTTCATTTATAATCAATTACTTTCATTTATAATCGATTACTTTCATGTATAATCGATTACTATTATTTTTCATTAATTATATTCGGTTTTAAATATGGCTAAAATTACCAATTATTTTTAAAAACGAATTTAAATGTGATTAGGTGTACAAATTCATGTAAGTGTCTCACCCAAGGGGTAAACCCCGAAATACTGGTACTAAATCACTATAAATTTTTTCGAAAATTCCGAAATTATTATAGAAAATCATGGCCAAAATCATGGCCAAAATCACTTCGAAATCAATTCGTCGCTCAGAAACGTAAATGTAGCAGTTTGTGGATGAAAAGACAAGGGAATTATAAAAAATGTCATCCTATAAATTTAAGATCAATTTTCATCGAAATCTTAGAAATCACTTATAAAATTTTTTAGGTGAATTCCGAAATACGGGTACGTTTTGAACTTAGTGGCTTTTCCCTCGGTTTAAGGTCAACTTTATGATTATGAAGCATAAAAGCAGTTGCGAAACTTCCATTGATTCGGATGATGCGTCGCATCCCTTCAAAATATTGTCACCTTATATTTTTTTATTTGAAATAAAATCAATAAGATCTCTTATAATAATGAGAAACTCAGTGAATTATTAAATTTCATTTCAATTATTTATATGTGTATTTGTCGAGCTTTATAGAACACGCTACTATATTTCGAGAGCGCTGTGATGCGAGATGCGATTTTCCTCATCACATCTTGAAGGCCTCGTGGGACAAGCCGAGGTCAGCCACCTTTCCGACCGTAATTCCGCTTTCCGCTCCAGTCCGCAGTTTTCGCTAGTGAGTGATGCGGTCTCTTAAACGCATCTCTTTCGTGTTAATACACGAATGCGAGTATCGTAATCATGTTCTTCCCCTTCATTAGAAAAAAATGTAAAAAATGGTCGTAAATCTGCACACTAGAAGGATTGATCTTAATTTAAAATCTAAAAGATTCGTTCACATTTTTGTTTTTTTTTACGTAAACTGTCCCAACTTTAATTTAGTTCACTTTTTTTTTTATTATTTTGATAATTTTTTGAACCTGCCACATTTTTTGTATAGTATACTTTACATATTTGTAAGTTCAAAATTAAAGATTTTAATAAAAAAAACTTGATTATTTTTATAAAATGTGTATCGCAGTTACTCATTACATCCCCTTGTATCGACGCCACGCTACGCCACTGTATAAAAGCATACTCTATTTGAGCTTTCATGATTATCCATCATGATTCGAAAAGCAGTGAGGCGGTTGACACCGATTACACGTCATTACAGCAAATAATTATAATAATAGCCGTCCCTTCCCCAAACAAGCTCAGCTTTTAGGGTTAAAATTCACTCGTAAAGGAAAGAAATTTGGTAGAGTACAACACGTTTAACGACGGCGAACACGGCCATTAACATGGCGCTAGTCTCATTATCTATACATTGAGAAAATACAAAATTAATTGAAATAACACAATAGGGACAGTTGACAATAACCATGAATCAATTTATAAACAAACAATAAATCTTCATCAAATCTATGTTTCTTCGGCGATTCTAAATTATAAATAACAATTGATTAATAATTGGTGTAAGTTCACTTATAACCCAGTTTAAAAAACATAGAGTCTAAGATATTTCTTATGTGCCCTTTCTAACATATTGACGTCACATTGATAAAAAAGCACCACACAACAGATCCATACTCAAAACCTGTCCAATTCAAAATAATAGGATGTAAACACAGTAGCGGCTCGTATCTCACTTACTTAGGAGGGTGCAAAGTCACAAATGAAAAACAAAAAGCTCCAGCAGGCCCAAAAAAAAACAAATGAAAGCATAAAAGGTCTAGCAGTCACGAAGAACTAGACTAAATAATAAAAAGACTGTTGGTTACAAAGGTGCGATTTAGAGAGTTGGAACGGAACAATATTTAGCATCAAGGGAGGTGGCGAAATCATTGTTTTTTTTGTGGTTGCAACGGGATAAGAGTATTTTGCAGGGATAGCGGCTATCTAGAGTTGTCACGCACGAGTCGCCACTGTGTAAACATATAGTAAAATATTATATAGTCATTTGGAAATAAGCTAGGCGCCGCTTGTTCCGTATTGCACCGTATTGATATTATCTGATAAACTTTTAGTGTTAAGCAATGTATTTACTTAATAAAATTACTATTTGGTACTTATATTATGTTCAAATCCATTAGTATTGATATCGGCATTACAAGAGGGTGTAGTTTGTATTAGAGATTAAAGTCTGAATCGGATAATTTTTTGAAATTAAATTATTTATAGTAGAACTAAGTACATATGTTACCTCAATAAACACAGAAATAAAGAATAGCCCATTCCTGTACCACTTAAAAAAGCTGTTGATTGAAGTATTCCATAAAAAGTCTTTTTTATGTCTTCTTTTGTAGGAACGCGACCCTTCATTAACAGTGTTAACTGAAAAAATTATCACATTCAAATATCGAATGAAAATTAGTTATAGTTTAACATGAACAAAGAAACAAGCCAAACTATTTGTTACTGATCGGCATCAGACCACTGTCGGTCATGTCCTAACTCTAAATTATACTCACGGACAAAATCATAGAATAGTTTAAATGAGAAAAATATTTAATAATTTTGTCAACGGGTATACTTTTGTTAGGAGTAGAACCACTTCGGGGCAGCATTAATTAAAACTAGCTAAACCAAAGCATCCCAACCGAAAAAGTTTGAAGTTGTAATTGCCTAATGCAATTCCAAATTTTCATGTTATTTTATTACATATAGGTACACCTGCCCCGACACCCACTTAATTTTAACAAGGGATTTTTTTAAGCAAAAAAGCTATATATAGTGGAGTATTAAATTGTAAGATTAAGCTACAGACGCATCTAAACTCTGTATAGCAGAGATTAACACCATTCCTTACATGTCTTTATGAAACATTAATTCACGAATAGGAGTGACCGTCCTATAAAAATTTTAGATGAGGCTAAAGCAGACTGAAGCTGTAGAGAAACTAGCAAACTTCGCGGCGGTCCCTTAAAATTTCAATATTATTATTCGCCAAAATCTTTAGTTTAGATGGCCATTAGTATCAGGAAGGCTTACAAATAAATAAAAATTAGTGTACATATCGAAAAAAAAAAGATGATTAATTCAATTTGAATTATTAGATAATCTTGCAGAAAGACGGGGGTAAAACACATTTACAATGCGATTCTAAATAAAAATTTTATACCACCAATTCAGTATACTACCAACGATCAAATAAGTAAAAAATCATTAAAAAGCAAGACCTCTAAATGTAGTTATAAATCTTTAAAGTCAAGCGTTTCAGCGGATAATTATTATTCTATCAAACTAGTAAAACAAACATTTAACACAAGATTTCAGATATAATTTTTAATAACAATGATTCAGTACATTAGCATCATTCAAAAAAAAATCATTACATAGCAGACCTCTAAACAAGTTACTCTATCAAAATATCAAATACCAATATTTAGCACGACATTTCAGTAAACAATTTTTAGTACGAATGATCCAGTACATTAGCATCAATTAAAAAAATAAATAATTAAGACTTATAAACACATTTTTTAGGACCTTTAAATGCGCGGTTCCGCTGATAAACATTACCCTATCAAAATAATAAACACCAATATTTAGCAAGATATTTCAAAAATAATTTTTAGTACGAATGATTCAATATATAAGTATCATTCAGAAAAATAATAAATCGTTATATAGCAAGACATAAAAATACAGTAACGATTGTTTAATTTAAAAACAGTTCATTTTTTAAAAACAGTTAATTTATTATTTAATTATAACGTACAAATTAATTTATTTTATACTTATGCACTATTATTATGACTCACGAATCTAATTTATTTAATACAATTTATCTTTTCTATACAACACTTATATTGAAACTTCCCTTCTACCGACAAAGTCGCGATATTTATATAAAGCCAGCTCTGCACGAGTACATTTTCGACAGTCTAGAATCTCTGGAATTTCTTCCTCTATGAGTCAGCCGACGCGCGACGATTTCTCTGGTAGCTTCTCGAAGGAGCGCATTTGTCTCTGTCCTGCGGTATCGAAACAGATGAAGCGGTTTGCAACAGCGGGAGGACCAGGATCGGCTTTAAGTGGCTCTATCATAATATCAAAAGCCAATATTTAGCACATTGCAGATAAAAGTTTTAGCACAAATGATTCAGTACATTAGAATCATTCCAAAACATTATAAATCATTACATAGCAAGGCCACTAAATACGTTTTTTTAGGTTTTTAAAATGTGCGGTTCCGCGGATAAACAGTACTCTATCAAAATAACAAAAATAATAATTAGCATAATATTTTTAATTATTTATTTGATCCGTAGTATTGTACTGAATAAAAATAATTGTATTTGTAATCTCGTGCTAAATGTGTTTTTTGCCTCTTGTTATCATAGTCGGTTGACGACAAAAAACCTGACTTTAGAAAGTCCAAAAACATATATTTTGAATCATTCCTCAGCCATAATTTTTGTTTAATCAATTAACCAAAACCTAATGAATATTTGGCATAACAAATATATTTAAACTCGCATTGTAAATGTGTTTGTTTTAGCTCTGTCTTTCTGCAAGATTATCTTGTTTTACCTAATAATTCAAATTGAATTAATCAATTTTGTTCAATAAATACACTCATTTTTAGCTATTTGCCAAATAACATCGAAACTTTAAGTGACCGGCTGCGCGGTTTGTCTGCTCTTCGCTCCGTGCGTGACAGCAGCGCCAATGCATTTTTGTACTAATGGACTATTTTTGCCTATACTGACAATACAATGTTTAATAGAATTCGTAATTAAAAAGTATATATGTTAGTTTTAATAAAAGTATATGGATTTGTAAAACAAGTAAAACATTAATTTATTATTATATATATAAAATAAGTAGGTTCAATAAAAATCAATAATAAAATAATAGCGTGAAGTTAAAATGTATAAACAGAAGGATTGTTATTTATGTTTTCATTTTTGTTCGAAAGAAAACAGAAAGAATGATTAACTGGTTTCCTATCAGTAAGTCACAAAATTGCATTCAAGCCACGTACAATAATCAAAGGCAGAAATCTAGTTCTTGGTCAACATTTAAGATTAAAGGAATGTTGAAGAACATGAAGAAATTATATTAATTGTTTATTTAAAACCTTTCAAGTTTCTGATGTCTACTATTTCCAATATTACTGTTATTATTACAAAAATAAAGGTAATTTTTCTTCTTATTGTACACACATCCATTTATTTGATTTATTTTTCACTTTGCTACTGAAAATTTTTATAATTTACACTGTTTTTTTGCTAGTATTTTTACAATTTTCAACACAGCAACTTCGGTTGTTTATTGTATTGTCTTTACCTACTTTTTGAAAAAAAAAGTAAAATGTATACGTGTATTTGATTTGCCAAAATTACAAAGTATTGCCCAAAAATGCACGAATTATCCGCAGCTAGCGCTAGTATCGCTTTTGCTTTCCCTACCATGACTTCGCACTGAGCGAATAGTCGCCGCACCAAAGAGATGAAGTGGTCACGTGCAGATCAGCCTAAAATGAGTGCCAGATTTCCATCTGAAGATCGCCAACAGCAGATAAGGAACCAACGACTAGGCCAGTTTTTTAGTTTATCAGTTTAACGCGGAGAGTTTTCTATGCGACCGTTGGCCGACAAATATGCATGGCTCATCTCCCATAATAATCTACGAAAACCTGCTCCTGGCCTATAATCTGGTCAAAGGATATTTCGAGAGCCCAGCTGTTAATACAGGTTGATCACACAGTTTATATACTTTGTCTGCTAGCTTCAGCCAAATCATTTTAGTAAGAAAATATGCATAGCTGTCAGACATCAGTTGGTACAAATCGAAAATATGATAATTTGCATTTACACCAACGTATCGAAATTTTTTGTTTAAATATCAAGCATTAATTTTCATTTATTTATTTATTTTATCTCAATTCATTTTATATTTTGTCTTATCACCTGTTAAAATTACGAGGGGGTTATAATTAACACCCTGCATACAGATTTGAAAAAAAACATCTACAGTATACATTGACCCCAAAATAGTAAAAAAAATACAATAACAATATACCATTCACTGTTGGCTTCTAATTAACAGTGCTTATTTCCTAAAGTGGCGTTGGGAAACAGTAACAAAGCCTTACAGAACAGGGGACTAATAACCTTAATAGTTGATGCGGATGAAATTGGATAAAAATAAATTCAAACATAAACAAATAACTAAGAGAGTGCGCTATCGACCTTTAAACGTTAGGGGTTACTTTAACAATAAATAGCGGAATTGTAATGTGTTATTTAGATATGAAGCATGATGCGTTCACTTCTGCTCACACAGATCTGGAATAGTGAAGATGTTTTATGTCCTTATCTGTATATATCCAACCATATTAAAAATACACTTTATGGTTACACTAATTTATGTTTCTTATTTTTATTTGCAGTTAATGAACCGTAAAAAAAATAAGAAGGAAAATAGCTATATCAAAGAGATTTCAAATAAAAGTTTCTAAAAGTGTATTTTGTTAGATTTGGTTAGTTATGGTTATGCTTGTTTGATTCTAAAATATCAAGTGCTTTTAGAGACGTTCATAAAATAAAACATGCATTTACTTATAAATTAAATTGGAAATAAAAACTTAATAGCTCCCTTTATAGTAACCAAATTTACATTATAAAATCTGGAAAAACAATTTTGTTATTACGCTCAACTTTTTTATATACAGGGTGTTTCCAAATTAAGGGAATACATTTTATTATTTTGTAATAAGGTGTTTACTGTCTTTTTGGATGACATCATTAAGAACATTGCAGGATATATAAATCTACAATGAATAGTTTTAGCAAGAACATGATAGGTATTGAGGAGTCAAGAAGGGGTATGAAGAAGACCTATAAAAGAATATAGACGACGACTAGATTAAAGAGCATTTAAGCTTTTACCACGTAAGTATAGGGTGTTCAAAAATTAGATGTAAATTTGACAAAACCTTTGCAGCAACCCACTCAAATAGTTAGTTAATGGAATGTTAAAAGTTTGAAAATTTTATAATGATATAGACACACAGAAATCATCGCAAAAATAGTTAAAACGGATTCAGGGGACCACAAAACTTAAAAATTCGTCGGAAACTCGAGGTCGAAAAAAATCATGATTCCTATAGTTTCCTTTTATATACAGACAGAAAAGTCAATAGATTTTATAAATGTGTATCTGTAATGTGTTAAGGGTGGATTAACCCACGGCACTTAGGCCTCACTAGGCCCATTGTGCATCCTCTTAAGTAGATACGCCTCCTAGCTAGGAGCCAGCCTTCAGATTTAATGTAGTTGATAACATCGCCAAGAGGTGCTTAAGGGGGTTATGATTGACAACCTGTATTATTTTTAACAGGTTTGTTATTTTATAAACACACAGAAATTACAACCTGTTCACAAGTAACGTGTGTTAACAATGACATTACTTGTCCATCATAACCCCGTTAGAGTGAAGATTATGACAGCCCCATAATATGGAGATGTTCCATACTTGGCAATAACCAGTCAGAATGCTTGTGATTAGACACAGATTCTCTCTAGTCATAGTCAAGTTTTTTGTTGCAATAGTATTGTCAGGATAACTTAAAAGCTCCCTGGCAAGTCGACAGCTTCTTGTTTTATCCCATCTTTCCTTGAATTTCACAAGGGAATGTTCTTTAATTAGGTTTGTCACTACCGATGTTGTCAGTCCAAACAGTATTTGGTTGGCTGCCTTCTTGGCTGTGTCATGATCCATCTTGACCACATTGTTGATGGATACTTCAACCAAAGCTTCGTGACATTCTAGTACTAACCCTAAGTAAATTAGTGGTCTGTCTAGGGTGAGTACTGCTTGTCTGCCATATGTATGGATGAGCATGTTCCTTCCAGTGATATTATTTCTGGTGATTTATTTTGCTGCTATGAGCTTTGTTTTGTTTTAGAACTGTCGGTGTAGATATGAATCATACCTACCACTTCCAGCTCTTCTATTTGTTCTCTTATATAACTTTATATGACTTATGAAAGATATAAATAGGTGAGATGCAGTCCATGTTCGCTCGAAACAGTGGGAGCTTAAGTTTAAAATTTAGCGTTTAACGTAAAAATCCGTCAAAAATTCGAGGTCGAAAAAATCATGATTCCCCTACTTTCCTTCTGTATACAGACAGGAAAATAAATAGATTTTATAAAAATATGTATAAGTATTAATTTAAAAATCATTAAAGTACATAGTTTAGAAAATTCATAAAATAGACCAAGTAATTAGATAAAGACAGGATTGGTTCAATTGAAGGTCAAACTAGGTTTTCTAAAACTGTGTTTTTTGATATAGTTGCCATTATAATACCCAAAATATGTAATATATCATAGGCTTGGAATTGTATTTTAAAAATTGTCATTTTTAAAATAAAAAGATAGAATGATATACCTCATACATACTTATTTCTCATTAAATGTCCCCCATGTTGCAAATTTTGAAACAGGATATATATTTTTTGTCTAGTTAGTTATGGTTTTGAAAGAATTTAATTATTTGCAATTAAAATTAGAACTAATTATTTATTTATAGGGGGCAACAACTTAAAAATGTACAATGGGGGTATATCTCATGAACTAAAGTTATCAGAAAATGCTTAATACCGTTCCTAGGGTATGAAAGAGGAACTTAAATGGCAAAATACAGAATTCTCCCCCAATCAACCCCAGTTGTGCACCACCTACTCTAACAAAAAAATAGCAACCCTTTACGTCATACATCATTGGAAAGGTAGTAAATAAAAAATTATTTTCAGTGATGTTATATCCAGTACAGGATTATTTAAAAAAAAGTTTAAATGGATTACCTAAATATTTCTAGTCCAGAAGTACAAAATAAATTGTTTTTATTAGGTTTTACTTTTGTTAGATGGTGTTTTATATTTTCATAAAAATGCAATCTATTTTTTTCTACACCTAGTGCATGCTGCCCCTTAAATGGATTTTATCAACTAGTACTACAAATAAACTAAGTATTATTATTTATTAAAATGAACAAATATTATTGCTTTTTCTATATAAACTTACTCAATTGGTGAAAAGTGAAATATGGAATTTTTTTTATTGTTAATGAAGCATAAATATATTTTAGCAGTTTACATTTTTGTTAAGCTTCAAATGCATTTTTATGTACTATATTAAACTACACAAACATGAAAAATGTAAATTAAAATACAAACCAAGTAAACAGTACTGTAAACTCTGAACGAGTCGAAAATGCAATATAAATATAGTCCACATGTGGCGTTAAGACAACTCTGTGTCCAGGGATGCACATAATCAATACATGAAACCCCAATAGGGGCTGTTGCTGGAATTATTTTACTAAAAGTTTGCGACATTTTCCATATGTAGAAGACAACTTATAATTGACTATTTTTTCATACTTGAAGTGTAATATATAATTTAATCTGATCGTTTTTGTAAGAACCTTGTACTTTGATTGCGAATTACGAGACTACACTCGCGATATTCAATAATATTCACATTCACTACTCTACCACTACAGTAATCTCGCTAAATGTTTATATTTTATTATTTATTATCAATTATTAGGTCTCTCTTCTCTTTCACTCACAAGTAAACAGCTGGATGTGACATGAAACAATTTCTGGTGACGGACATGACCTTTTAATCCATGAAACGAAAAATAACAGTGAAAGCAGAGACAACTGAAGGAATTTTTCTTTTTCGCTGGTCCTGATCTCTTACTTGTAAGCCTAGGCAACCACCATGTCTGATTAATTTGGCTTATACGGACCGTGCTGCATACTAAATAACCAGTCCCTTACACTTATGAGTTTTTTTAAAGAAAAAGAAGATTTTTTTATTTTAGGTTATATTTATCCGATTTTGTTTTTTATATTTGTATGATTTGTATGTATGCCGTTTTTATTTTTTATGTTTATAAACAAATAACATGAAAAGAAAGTGTTACAAATAAATGTACATGAACATGTCTGGACATGTGTTTGATCCTGATAATTGGAAACTAGAAGCTGAAGTAGTAATAAATGACGTAAAAGACCATGTTAAAACACTAGAAATATCTGAAAAACTTGGTAGTGATTATAATGTTATTTATTTAAATCTTATTACTAACGAGGGAAACAATTATTGCATACAATTATCTGCACAAGGGTTTCGAGTAGTAGGCTACGAATCTGATGTAAATGACCTAGACAGTGAAGTGTATTTTGAAACCCCTTATAGTTTGTTAAATTCTGTTAGTCCTAGTTTCAAAGTATCATTCGCCAATGCTTTGTTTAAAAAATTAAATGAACTAAATTAGAAAAACTTGCTTAATGAAATAAAAAGTTAAAAAATTTAAAAAGTTTATTCCTTTAATTGTACATTTGGAAATTTTTTAATGGTATGAACAGGCTCCTAATTTGTTTTACAAATAGGTCTAAAATGTTTAGAAAGTGCTCATTATGTATCTGTGACTTTGGGAGGAGTTTGTGGAATTGTGGGTGGCAGTGGTAATAAGATCCTGTAACTTTTAGGAACCGAGTGGAGTGGGAATGCCCCCTGAAGGTTTTAAATAATACATTAGAACATTCTTAAAATATGTTTATTAATAACAAATAAATATTAGAACAAAATAAATACCAATTATAATACATATTAACTATGCATTTAACGAATACTTACTTGGAACAAAGGTATACATTCTCAAATCTTTAAAATATCAATCCGGATCTTTTTTAATATCTGGGTCAATGAATCTGGTTCAGTTAAAAGATCCGGATCAGTGTGCTGGATCTCAGTTCAGTTGAATCTTTAAATATTGTATGTTAGTTTATATTGTGTTTACCATCAGCCCCATCCAATGACATAATTTATAGTAACATAAAATATGTTCCAAGCTGAAAATTGACTAGGTTACTAAACCTGTATTAATATTTGAAATGTTTTTTACATATTTTTTTTTTTTGTCATCAGCATCAACTGCTACGGTTATTAGCCTCATGTTCTGTGTAGGCTTTGTTACTGTTTCCCAGCGCCACTTTAGGAACAGCACTGTTAATTAGTACCCAACAGTGAATGGTCGAGTGGGGAATCCTACCAAGGCATCAGAATTAATTTTAAATAATTAAATTAAATGAAAAAATCCCGGCCAACGGTGGGATTCGAACCTGGGACCCTTGGATCCGCAGGCAGAGACTCTACCACTGAACCCACCCCGTCTTTTTTACATTATACATTATTTACATTTTTTTGTTTCTGCATCTATAAAAGTGATTTTTGAATGATTTCAATACTTCCCTTTAAAGACAACTAAAACCAATTATTTGCATACAAATAAAATATAAAAAGTATATTCAAGGCAAAAATTGCACAATAAATTATTGTGATATTTCCTACTGATCCTAGATTCAATTTTGTCAATATAAATAGTAATTGAATCTCGGATCCGTGATCTGCACTGTAATATTTTGAGAGTCTGGTCAGTCAACTCTTTTTAAAGATCCGCCTCAGTGAATCGGATTGGATCCGATCTGCCCATCACTAATTATGAACCTAAAAGTGATCCTACCACCTTAGCTGAGCGCCTAATAAGTCCAGCTACATTCCCCATTACCCATCCCTTTTCAAATAAAAAAAAAAAATTCTCAACATAATTTTATTTAATTTAAATTAAAAATTTTAAACTGACACAGTTAAATAAAGGCATTATGGTAAAAAAACATAGTAACACATTATAATAAAAAAAAACATAGGAATCAGTACTTCAAAGTATAACTCAAAATTCCATGGAGATAGCTGAAAAAATAAAGAGTTGTAAGCAAGATGTAGAAATGTTTCAAGAAATATATTATTCCAGGGCAGTCGTCCCACTTTGCCCACAACAACACCACTACGCAAGCAATTGTGGGCAGAGAGTATCTGTAAGGTGGGGGGGGGGTGGGTTGCTTGACAGTACTTAGCTCTCATAAGACCCATTGAGCATCCTCCAGGAGCATATTGAGGTTGATACTGCAATACAAGCTGTCACGAAAAACTAATTTTACAGGAGACTATAAAATTCTAATAAGTTCCTAATAATTCATACATAGATTATATTGCCAGATATATACATTTTTGGTATGAAATACTGACATAAAACATACTGCAATGCATGGTAGATATTTACAAATAATAAAGTGAATTGCTGAATTTAGCTCCGCGACAAACCTGTGAAATCCTGTGCATGAAGTGGGAGAACTGGCAAAAGAGGTGAAACACCAGAGAATATCAGTCTAGAGCAGCACAGAACATCAAAATGTTTAAGGATATTGACCTTATTTGCATCACAGAACACAGGTAAAACTAAGAGGCATTTTATCTAGATGAGTATGAAATCGGAGGTTTTTTTGCCAGGTCTCAATTTCCCGGAGGAGGCACAGTAATAATGGTTAAAAATAGTCTAGGGTCTAGTTTTAAGAATGTATTTGTGAATTTTAATATTCAAAAATGTGTAGTCTTGTTGTATTTTAAAAATGTGAACCTTAATATTTTAGTTTTATATAGACGCCCTTCAGGAACGTTTTGACACCTTCTTGGGCTCTTTGGAGAATATGGTAGCATCTCTTGGTCCGAACAAGAGTATTGTGGTGGTAGGGGATTTTAATGTACTTTTCGGTGAGAACCAGGCAAATGCCCATCATTTGGAGGACACCATGGGTGGTTTCGCTTTACACAGAACTATCTTTGAGGCAACAAAACACTTGTTTGGATAACATCTTTGTTAATATTATGACTGATGAGCTCAGAGGTTATCGATTTGGATATATCTGATCATAAAGGGCAAGTAATAGATTTTCTGGCTTCTATGGAAAAAAGTATGGTGGTGCAGACACAAAAGGTTTGTAAACCAATAACTCAACAGGGACTCCTTAAGTTTCACAATAAAATTGGTCTTTTCAATGAGAGATCTCCACCAGACAAATTCCAACATAAATAGTGCCAGATTTTTTGGAGTGGCCATTGGCCCTAAATTGCAATAGAACGTTCATATCAACACGGTAACTTCAAGGCTACCTAGTGATCTTCTTCTTCTTCTCAGAAACCTAGCTCATAATGTATCACAACCTGTATTAATAACAGCCTACTTTGCAACTTTCCATGCTCACTTTGCATATGCAATCATTGCCTGGGGCATGCAGAGAAAGGCAGTAAGGGTATTGAGTGGTTTTGATTTCAGGGAGGACTGTAGAATGGCTTTCAGAAATCTGGGAATATTGACGGTTCCTTCTGTTTATATCTTGGAGGACCTGGGGCCTAATTCCTGACAGCGTTCGTCATCGTCTCGCATGCAGTGACGTCTGCGAGTAGAAAAATGGTATTCTTGAAAGTCTTTACCGTATGCAAGTGATCCCGCATGAGTCGCTTGGCGAATGATTTGCAACGAACGGTCTTGACCATTAGACAACCTTATCTCGCATGCGGTAACTATAACTATCCAAGCATGTTACTTGCCACTGTCACATATAATAATATAAAATATATTCTTCCTAGTTTATTTTTTTTTATTTTTTATAATTACCAAGTGTTCATTATGTCATTAACTTTACTTAGTTATTGTATTTACAAGTGTACATTTTTTATAAAATGGACGAATTAAAACAAAATATTGAAGAGGCACAATTAGATGCAGATCTACGACCTTTCAATCAGGCAGCAGGATCAATTTTTGTTACCAGATAGACAGTTTATAACAATATTTTGCTAATTTTAAAGTTTTCCTTTCATTCTCCATCTCTATTTCCAAATACCTACTCAAATTTATTTTAATAATAATAGAAATTACTAATTTGACACTCACGCAGATTAATTTTTTTTACACTTTTAAGCCGATATTGCAGTTTTTGTTATAATGTTCTGAAATTTTATTGCTAGAAAACGATTGAACTGCTGTAATAATCAAAGCCTCTTTGCTACACCATGCGACATGAAACTACCCTAACGAAGGGTAGTCAAGAATTTTCCGTCGCTTGCGGTGGCGACCATGCGTCGCTGACCGAATGCGACGTTCAGAGCACAATTTCAGGAATTGGGCCCCTGCTCTACATTAAGAAAAATCCTGATGTCTTTGTGATGTATCGTACTATACATAATTATGAAACCAGGGACAGGGAAGCTTTGGTGCCTATTTATTGGCGTCTGGGCAGGTGTCAGGATGGGCCGGGTCATTGGACTATTAAATTTTTTAACAGACTTCCAGCTGTAATTAGAAACTTGCCAATTTTAACTTTTAAAAAACAAACAGATCTTAATTAGAAATTGTTTTTATTCATTTGAGGAATTTCTCCATTTTGACTTTAATGTGTACATGAAACTATTGCTTCTAATTTGTGTATATTTTATAATTATATATTTTTTTAGATTTTTATCTTAGCATCTTAGGTATAGCCTCTGTATTTCGGTATTCCTAGATTTAATTTTATCTGACTTATGTAAGTTGCATTCAGTAACAATAGCATGAATAAAGGGTTATCAAATGTTGGTGTTTACAATGCGTAATTCGAAGGATTTATAAATTAAAGCTATTTTAGTGGTTCATAATGCTTTGGTATGTTCGTTACTGCAATATGCTTCTATAGTCTGGACGCCCTATTACGCAATTATTATCTCAGCAATCGAACGAATACAACACAATTTTTTGAGATATGCAGCGTATAAAATTGCAGGCAACTACAGTGATGAGGAAGTTTTGAATACACTTAACTTATTAAAATTAGAAAACCATGGAATATTTATGGAAATAACTTTGTTATTCAAACTATTGTCAGGGGATATTTGTTGCCCAGAACTTCTATCCCTTTTCTCACTTAGGATTCAGATAGGACCACTCGTAACCACAGTTTGTTGGTTGTTCCATTTCATTGTACAAATTATGGATACCACACCCCTGTCTCTCGCTTATCAAGAACAGCCAATATGCTTGATGAACAGGGCATTGATTTTATCGGTCTTTCCCTGAGCTCCTTTAAAGCTAAGTTGAGGTCAAAGCTTTAAAAACATGATATCTGTAATTCGTCAGTAAATGTAATTTTGTTGTATCTATGTAGGTTAAATACCACTGTATTATTTTACTAGAATGGGGATTTCTCGTTAAATAAATAAAATATTCATCTTTTAGCTGGGTCACTTCAGGACGATCTGTGCACCGCTTGGGCGGCCCGCGCTCATTATCTTCTCATCTCCCCGCGACTCTAAAAAGTAACGCCAAGACACGTAGTGTTTGAGCTGTATTTTTGTCAGATCGGCGAGCTTTGTTTATAGTCTGTCGCGAACGTGATATGATTCGATTTCGGTTTTCTAAATTATTAGTTTGTATTAATTTGCCAGCGCGCGTTTCCATTGTTCATGAAAGACATGGACGTAGTTTTTAAGGTAATAAATGAAGAGGTTTTTCAAATACGTGTGTAAGTATAAGTTTGCTGATAAAAAGGAATGCACAATAGAATTAATGTATAAAAAGGTGAATAAAAGCTGTAAAATATTAATTGCTTTTTAGGGGGAAGGGAGGCAGAACCCCAATATATTTAACTACGAGCCGCCACTGACCAATGGTATGGAAAATTTGTGCTGAAAAAAAAACCGAAATATTTTTTAAAAATCGAAACTCAACCAAAACTTTTGTTTTACTAGATCCCAAACCGAACCAGAACTATTTATTTCATTTCGGTCTGAGTCCCTGGTTTGAATTTAATTCAGAACCATGCATGGTTATCAGTGACATGGCTATATCTGTCTTTGGCAGTCATAGCCTACATTTAAAGATTTGTGTAAATAATATGGCATGTGCACTTGGTATTAATTATAAGAATGCAGAGCTATGGGATCTCCTAGTAGTAATAATTAGGTTTAATAGGATACAAGTTGGCTATTGGGGAGGTGTAATAAAGTGGTGTGAGCAGATACGAATATCAAGGACATACCGAAACGTTACAGAAAATGTTTATGCCATTTTTTGCTTTGTTAAAGGTTAAATAATTTAATTAAATATAATTTACCTTGATCTTTATTGGGATTTTTGATTTCAATTCCTTTTAAAAAATTCTCAAAAACACTGATTGCTTCTACAAGACTGGTTTTTTTGTAGTCTTTAATTTTAGATAGCTGTTTTGTTTCAGCATCAATATCTGTTGAACTGCTGTCTTTCATCTTTTGTGCATAATTTTCAATGTCTTCGATTAATCCACTACAAATTAGGTTTTATAAAAAATGTTTTATCATATATGGATGAATAGTTATTAAGATTCAATACGCAAATAATCAGATAGAACATATTCTGAGAAGTGAAAACAATAAGAAAACTACATTAAAAAACAACGGTAAACAGATCAAAGTAAAAAACAGGCTGAAGGAAAAACAGGGTAATATACAATTAATTGTAAAACACTGAGTTAATAAATCTTTAGTAAATTAAATATAATAATTCTGAAAAATAGTATAGGTAATACATTTTTACTTACTGAACAGTAGGTACTGTATCTGGATTAAAAGAGTCCAGATTCTTTGGGTCAAAGGGTACACAAACTTTCCCAGTTTTTGGGTGAACACAGAATGGAGCTTTTAATAAATGATTGAATCCTTTTGTCACATTTATATCCAATCTAGGATAAGCATAGTGTAGTTTTATTTCATCTTTAAGATTCCTCAAATGTTTTGGAATTGTATCCTAAAAGATAGATAGAAAACTAATGTAACAGGCTTATCAAAATGTACTGAAACCATTTTATAAAATAAAAACCAATATTTAAGATAATTTAACTTAAATGAATAAATATGTAGGAAATTATATACATATTTTAAAATAATGGAAAGTTACTCAATACATTGATAATAAAATACATAGGTACAAAAATACAGCTTTTTTTATCTGAAAGTTTAGGAATTATTATTAAGAAAAAAGAAATAAATACATTTCTTAGCATTTCATTAAAAGTTTCTTCAAAAATATTCCATTTTTCTGAGGAAGTTTCTGCTCGTTTCATTGGAGTTTTAAACGATGGCCTTACATCTTGATCAATAAGTTTTAAAAAGTTATTAAACCTCTCTTCAGTGCCTAAAATATCTTGTTCTTCAACTATAGTTGGGAAATATTTGTCTATAATTTTTAAAGCTCGCCTGAAACAAAAAATAGGAAACTCTTGGTTTTGTAAAGTAAATAAAACATTTAAAGAATTAACTAAGAAAACTTGTATTTCATGCAAAAAACACATTTTAAAAATTGCAAAGCGCCTACGGCATTACACCATCTTCAGTGCTTATTTTCAGTCAATGTTAATTGTTGGAGGGTCCCAACTTGCTAAATCATCGTTATTATTGTATTTAAAATTATTTCTTATGAATTAAAGTTTTTCACCCACTTTATTAAGCTATTTTTGTAAAATTTTACAAAAAAATGTCTTAATGGCAAAATAAAGTATTTATTTAACCATAATTTTACATTTTAAAAATATTTAACTTTACATATATATATCACTAACTCATAATTTTCATACAGTGTCCATATGAAGTTGGATCCATATGCGATTTTTGTTTAATATTTTAATTTTACGATTGGAATCACCGTTGCTTATTTAAAAACTTAAAATAGCCCATATCAAAGTTGGCTACTGACTAGTTTTCTGTCAAATTCGAATTAAAATTTTTTTTTTTTAACGATTTTTCAAAAATATTCCGAATTTGACAGAAAACTAATGCAGTTCCTAACCAGCTTTAATATAGGCTATTTTAAGTTTTTAAAAAAGTAGAAGTAAATGCCGTACGACGTTTGTTTCCAATAGTAATATTAAAAAACATTCCCATATGGATCCAACTTTATTAAACATATAATTTTATAATAGATTTGAAAGTTATAATAGATTAAAAATTTATAACAGGTTGAAAATTTATAATAGATTTAAAATATGTACAAATTAAACTACTGCAAAATTTTTACTTTTAAGAGGAAAATTTACATCACACACTGAAAGACCTGCAGGACAACAGTAGTGTAATGTGAGCCATTTCATTATTCAGTCATGCGTTAATCCTCGTAAGTCCCTCCCTGTTTTATTTGGCCTTTGAGGCTCAACTTGTCCGATTATCATACATAATTAAACCCCTTAAGACCAAACATATGTGACGTCTATGGCGAAGGCGCTCTCGAGAACTTTCCAGGTAGAACGTCATAATGATTCTAATGTTGGTAAAAATTGGTAAGAAGATTCTAGTACCTTCGCCAAAATTTTAATTGTGTATATAAATATTGGTGGAGGAACATGGAGCAGTCAGTTGTATATAGACAGTTAAGAATAAAGTGTTGGACTGTGAAGATAAATAGTGAACAATTCAAAGACATTCGAAATATATATATATAAATTAGAATAGTATTGTTTTACAACTCAAAGGTATAGCCTTAATACTACAAAATTACTTCCGAGACTAAACAAAATCAGAATTCATTCATAATTCTAACAAATGCATTTAATATGAGGAATAAATATTCTAAACTCCAACGCGTGAAGCACAATTGCACAATATAGTATACAGTGCAACAACCTTAGATTATACAAACCTTAGATGGAACATAAGACACTGCGCATAATCCCATTTCAAAATGATTCACACCCACCAATCACAGTTGAGAACATCACACGTCAGACTGTTGTCCATCCAAATTTAATGTGTCAACGTGAATTAATTTGGTATTTTAGTGACTTAAATTTTGGAAATTAACGTTGAAAATGCCAAGATGTGTTGTAAAAAGCTTTATTTATAATAAACCTGTGAAATGTGACGGAGATAAAAGAAACTTATATTTATTTCGGTGAGATATTTAATTTTTAAAAATTCTGTCGACGTCCATATTTGTTGATTTGAAAATAAACAGAATCGGACTTGGTCATTGGTACATGTTATAAGTAGCAAATAAAGGTTATTATTATAAACTGTTTACTATTTCTTGTTTCATAGGGAATCTTTTTTTTAGGAAGTGAAAAGAGAAACATACAATCAAATACAAAAATATCAATTTCATTGCCAATTTATTCGTTTCAAACTTCACAACTGGTTTCAATAGTTTTCTCAAAACTATTTATTTAGTAATTATGTATAACAGTGTTACTCAAAGTGTAAAGCCAAAGTTTTGCGCGAAGAAAATAATCACAATAAAAAAAACAGTACTATCGCCACAAAATGGAGGGACCTGGCTTGAGGACCGTTTTTTGGGAAGTAATTTTTTTAAGTCACTAACAGGAAGGAGGATATGATTTTGCTTGAGGACTTTTTTTTAATTAATTTTTTATGGGTGAAATGGATTTGGGATAATTTTTGCAAGGAATCTTTGGAATAAATCAAAAATAAATGATGCTCTTGTGCATTTTCAGCCTGAGTTGCCGATTAAATTATTCGTAGATGCATCAAATGTGGGAATAAGGAACATGATATGTCATGTTTAAAAAAAAAAAATATTGAAAAATGTATAGCTTCTGCTTCGCGTACCTTATCAAAGTCCGAACAAAAAAATTCCCAAATTGAAAGAAAGTTCCTTGCAATAATTTTTGGCTTAAATAAATTTAAAGAATATTTATATGGACATTTGCATAAAGTAGAACATTATGCAACTGATTACGAAAAGTTGATTATGTCACCAGTTACGAAATGAAAATAAATAAAACTGCCTCTTTTTTGGTTTCTAAGTTGAAAAATCGAAAAATCGTGAAATCGAGAAATTGAGAAACGAAAAATCTAAAAATAAGAAATAGAAAAATCCAAAAAACGAAAAATCGAAAAAACCAAATATTGAAAAAGAGGCAATGAATAGTGACATTTCACATTTGAAAATATGACATTACGTTTAAAAACAAAAAAGAAAACAAAAAAAGAAAAGCTGTAAATTGCGTTTAATTTTTAAAATAACACCGTTATTGAAAACTGCCCAGAAATGTTGGGGGTAAAATTTTGACATACTTCTTTAAGGATAATGGGTAAAAATGTTTTTTTTTCAAATTTCTCGCGGGTAATGTCAAAAATTAGATCGGCAACACTGCACATGTCCCTTATTTTTATTATTACTATTGAAAAAAAAAACGTCGTAGGGCAATCAAATACAACAATTTTCTAAAATATTTGATTGGAAGTATCTACACAAGAATGATGGTGAATCATTTTTCAACACAATTTTATAAATAATCAAGTCAAAATTAGAAAAAATCTTGTATATAAACACGTTACGAAATGCCGTTTTGTGTAAGTCGTTCATGTTGCGGGAACTCGCTCCGCTAGTTTTGCAAATATTTACTCGTTACACAAAATAAGGCATTTCGTAACTGGTTACATAAATAACTATTAATTGACTTTCTAATATTTTAATTCATTGAACGGTATTTTCCGTAAATAATTAAATCATAAATAATTACCAGGATATAAGTACCAAAACATTTTTTTCTCTTAGAACAGTAGGCCTGTGTCAAATAAACTTAAAATATTATAACGAACGAAAAGGTAACCCATTTCTAATAAAATTTAGTTATTTTTTTTATTTTGGTATGATCGTAGAAAAAATCTTGTGTGTAATTCGAGCAAAAAGTACTTATAAACTTTTACTTAGGATCGATTTCACCGTTTTGTTAAACGAAGTTTAAAATACTAAACGAAGATTAAAATGACATTTTTATATTAACAAAAACGAAGTTTAAATTACTAAATGGAGTTTAAAATGACATTTTTACATTAACAATGTCATTTTAATCTTCGTTTAATAATTTAAACTTCGTTTAACACAACGGTGGAATCGGCCCTTAGCTAGTTATATATTGATAAAGTGTTATTGCCCTCGTCATACATGAATCGTGCTAACAAATAAAGTCAAACAAACGTCTCATAATTTTTCATCTTTTAATTACCCACCAAAATTAGGTACTACAATACAAATATTTAAGTCCGGCCCAGAACATCTCCCTACTCCTTCCACCCAGTTTTTCGGTTTTGGCAAAATTCGCGCAGCGAGAAATGCTTCCTATGTTACCTCTACCCTTTCTAACCTCTTTGGCAACAAAAGATCAGAAAGTAACCAACTCCACACGATGTGCGAAACTTGTGGCATGAGCGAACGCGAGTGCCACAATCACACGAGTATGGAATAGGTTTTCTGCACGAGTGGCACATTATACTTTTTCTACGACCACAAGACAACCCAAATTACACATTTTTTTTAATAATTTGACAAACTTTATTAACGATTTAAAATTAGAAATATTAAGAGGTGGTAAATATTTATTATTGTTGTCATTTTTTAAATTTTTAACAGATTTGCTTTGGTAAAATTTGAATATACACAAACTTTTATATTTTCACAAAAATGTATTTTTACACTTTTAGACACCAAGAATATACAAAATCTGTTGGCGGAAACCTATTTTTTTAAATTTTAATAATGATTTTTTAGGCTATTTTATTAATTCATTAAGAGCCAGTCTTTTCACCTCTGAGTAAAGTTGAAAGTAACTACTTGCTGATTGAACTATGGGGCTATTGTTTGTTAATCTGTCAAGTAAACCTACATGTAACTTTACTCAGAGGTGAAAAGATGGACCCTAAATTTATTTTGGTTGTCATTTGACATAAGATGCACATTGTTGCCAAGTTGTGTACTATTTCTTAAATAAAAGGACTATGTTTTTGATATATTCAAAATTAAACATAAGTTGGAATTTCAACACAATTATCAATACCTAAGCCTTGCTTATATACGCAGACATCCGAACAGCGGATTGAAATTTACTGAAAATTTCTAAACACTTTGAAACATTACACACATAACAATTCTGGGTAAATACCTATTGGAAAAACGGTCCTTTCTTAAAAGTTCAATTTATTTTCACAAAACTTACATTTTAGGCTTTAAGAAGGAGAGTACTTTTCAAATATACCACTGGTAACCCCATAAATGAACTTTTTTTTAATTTATATATTAAGAGCTTATGAGGATTATATATGTAAACTTGTTCATAAGAATTATATCTGTCATTACAAATGCGCAGTGTTACTAAGTGTCCAATTAAAATCAACGAAAAATAAATATAAAAAGTTATCGGGTACGGTGGTGTAGCGGTCTAACGCGCTTATATTCATTTATAAGCAAGTTTATGTGTCAGAGACTGCTGGGCTTCGAATCCCAGACCAGACCATGTGGATTTTTTATTAAATTGCATGGTTCGGTATAGGATTTGATGTGTGCCGTATTAATAGAAATTCAATTTCTGTTGATATGACATGCAGATTAAAAAAAATCGCCATACATTACCGTCTCGATGATGGTGGGTGAGGTTTTCCGGGTTTTCCTCACCTGTAAGTCAAATGGCACCATCAATCATCTTTAAGTCGCCCCGGAGCGCCACGGCAAATAATAATAATAACCGTCCATTTCCCCGCACAAGCTCTGCTTTTGGGGTTAAAATTCACTCGTAAGGGGGTGAATTAGGGAGAGTATTATTATTATTATTACTACCTTATTCTTAACATAACATTTCCAAACACTTTTATTAATTTATTTCCAGTCATATCCGACGATTTATTTATTCATTTTGATTGAATTGTTGTGGTAAATGATAATTAAATATTAATTACATAATCTATTAAGTAATAAACAATGTACTTTTCAAAAACTTTTAAACATAGTCCCTTTGTGTTATCCAAAAGTTTTTAAACTTTTTGGATACAGGGAATTTTTTGATTGAAAAAAATGACGTCAGCCAGCCAAATTTAAAGAATACTAATCAACTAAAGATGATAGCTGAATTATTTCAATTTCTGCTAGGTTAGCCATGGGACGAATGTACCTTGCTATTAAGATGTAAGTGTAAAAAAAGCCGCGCCCATCCGACGTTTCAAAACTCGCGCGAATTTCGAAAGGTCGGCCTGTCACGCTCTCTTTGCTCGCTCTATTCTATAGTTGTTATGAGGTTGATGCGACGAACGTACCTTGCTCTTATGGTGTAGGTGTAAAAAAGCGCGCCCGGTCGACGTTTCAAAATTCGCGCAAATTTCGAAACGTCGGCCGGGCGCTCGCTCTTCTGTAACGGTTAGGAAATGGGTGGGTCGAGCATTCCGTGTTCTTATGGTGTATGTATAAAAAGAGCTCGCCCGGCCGACGTTTCGAAATTTTGTAAATAATTTTGGATTGTAAACAAGGCTTTTAATGAATTATGCCCAAACCAGTATTCCATATCTTAAAAGTAATTTCAATAAAGTTGAATACCGAAATAATTGCGCTAAAGTTTGAAGACATGTTTGGAGGTTACTGGACTGGGGGTTTTCTCAGTAGTGGGAGTATATTGCAATTGCAATAAAATGGCACCTTTGTTAGGATTCTTCATACATTCTTGGAATTAAATTACTGTCTGTTATTTCGGTACTGAACTATAAGAATTTGTATACTAAAATCAAAATATTTTTACAAAGAATCTTTTGACTGATTTGTTAAATACACTACATGTTGATTCCATTTTATATTTTTATAATATAATAATTCGTAAATTAATGTATTTTCAACTTCTTTTATGACTCCAATACCATTATTATTAATGCTGTGAAAATTAGGTCTGGTTATATGTGTAATGGTAAATGCTATATAATTGGTCTTATATGCATTTAAAAACAGCTGATACCCATCTAACCACTTATTTATGATATTCATAAAGTCTTGAATGCTTTTTTTAGTAATGTCTCAATCGTATCTATTAAATATATATGGCAACATTGTCATCGGCATATGATAGACTAACGTTGGCATTTATGTCTAGTGCTAATAAAGAATTTATATAAATTGTGAAAGTATAGGCCCTAGTACTGAGTAAGTATTATTTAATGAGAAATTGTGGGATATACTTATTTACTTATTTTTTCAATCATTTCAGTGTCTATACTAGTGAAAAATATTCAATACAAAAATATCTAAGGCTTTTTGTACTTTTTAATATTTTATATTTGTTGCCTCAGAAATTACTCCATATATTTTTTTCATGTTATTTTGATTTTGTGTAAATGTTTTTATAGTAGTTATGTTTACAGTCTTTTAAAAGACTATTTGAAAAAAAAATATATACTTCTAAAGATACCAAAAAAAAAAATTTAAACAACCGTTTTTTATCTGTTGTGATAATGGACCGTGCATTCGATTTATCAAACTCTGAAAAGTGTCTGTAAAAACATCTGTTGCTACTTGAGCAGGAGAAAAACTTTTAATTTACAATAAAGTGGAAATTTTACAAAAATGGCGTAATAAAGTGGGTGAAAAACTTTTATTTACAATAAACCAAAAATAATTTTAAATAACGATAATTTAACAATTTGGGACCTTCAAACGTTTGAATATATATGCTGACGATTGATATTATTGGAAAGTCCTTTGACTGTCAATAAGCACAGTGCAGTTTTCTGTATTATTATTGTTTATGTTATTATTTTTTTATGTTTAATTAACAATATAATAGATTTTTAGTCATTCAGAAATGAAATTTATTATTAAAGATTACTTTTTGTTTTTATTTGTCATCGAAAAATGTACATTTTGTTGTCAGAAATGATATCAGTCCCCCATTCAATACTAAAATCCCCATTTTTGGGCGTCACCCTTTCTTAGAAAAGTGCTCGAAAGGTTAATGTATTTTGTGATACTCATACAAATTATAAAAAAAAAACAAGAGTATTATAAATTTCCTTATTTCTAAATTATCTTACTTAATAGAACTGTGTATTCTATCTCCTGGCAAATGAACTTTTTTTGTTGTATTTGCTCCACCTTTTACAACACATAAATAATCTGCTAAAGCTGAACGGGCTTCCTCACCCATTTTTCTTGCTTCTTGATCACATACCCAGCAATGAATACCTTAAAATAATGACATGTACAAATACATTAAAATAAGTCTGTTAAATTTTGGTTTCTTTAATTAGTATTCATGTTTTAAAATAAGAAAGTTGAAATAAAAATTCATATATTATAGAGTTTAAAAGTTGAATTATAACAATACGTTTTCAAATAATGTAAATGTACCTCTTCTTCCAGAAAATACCCACAACCTGTGCTGGTAACCAAAATCATCACTCAGTGCAATATCTAATATATGGCAGGCTATCATCATAAACTTCCAACATTTAGTACATACATCAGCACCTGAACAGCAAGTTCTCACCTCATCATAATCAGTCATATCAATATCAAATACTAATTCTTTTTCTGTGGGTATAATTTGAGAAACTGGGCCTCTATCTCTTGGTCTTGTCTGATATACGGCGCCTAAATCTATTTTTATGGGATACTTTTTAAACAACTGTTTTGTGAAATCATCTTGAGAGTCAAAGGATTGATAACGAATATAAATATCACCGAGAAGTGTAAAAGATATTTCTCTTTTTGCAAAAGTAAGTTGATTCCCTACAAAGCATTGTTAACAATGATAACAGGAACAGGATTAATATCATAAACATTTATAATTACCGTAACTTAACCAGCGGTAAAATTGAGAATGTGGAAACAATCTTTTGTAATAAACGGGCAGTAAATCACTTAAAGTTTCGGCGTTATATTCAAAATTATTCATTTTGGTTGTTTCCTTTTAAAAAGTTTATTTTACTGTATTTATTATTTCCTTCTGAAATACAGAAAATATCAAAATAATTAAAACGTCATTTGGCGGGAAAAACAGTAAACTTTAAACTCTTCTTTTTGTCTTTATGATAAGTACATGATAGGTCTTTTCCTTTGCATCGAAAGTGTAGCAATGAGATACATCACTTCTGAAAATATCGTTCCATCCATACAATTTGTATAAATGGAACGATATTTTCAGGTGCTACCATAGATAAACTAATATTAATTTATCTATGGGTGCTACACTTTCAATGCAAAGGAAAAGACCTAACATAGAACCTTTTTTGTAAAATATTTAAAAATCGTGTTATTGATAAAGAGGATGAAACAGTTGGACATAATATTGAAGAGTATTTTATCATTTATTCATCTTTGACTATTTCTTTTTATAAAGATACAGAAACATTCATTGAAATGCAATTATCTTCCGAATTCAACAATAGTAAAAGACAAAATTTACTAATCGTTCAACATGACTAATGGAAAAGAGTGAATATGGATTTTTCCACGATAAATGACATTTTCTCATCGTGATTTTTTCAATGGGAAGAAGGAAAATTTCAAACGTTCTTCAATGAATATTCCTGAAATATAAGCTATTACTGGCTATTACCTGCGCTGGCTAAATATCAAAAAAAAAAAAAGAAGACAAAGACAAAAAAAAATAGAAAGAAGAAGTTTTTGGGTTAATTTTATTTTTCTATTTTGGTCTGATTTTTGCTAAAGTACCGACATCCAACATAAATTAAGACTTTTTCAGACTAAAAGGATGGCTGGCAGTCGCTTAGAGAAAATTGGTACAATATATACAAGGTAATGTAAACAAAAACATCTGCTAGATCTATCAGTTTTTTGTTCATAGGACATCAGGGCTAATTAGGTCTGGAGCAATAAATTGGGAAGATAGACCTCTTTGGTATGATATTTATGAGGCATCTCCTCCAAAAGAGGAACCCAGATTTGATAGACCTGCTCCCAACATGAAATTAAAAAATATTTTTTATGCAGAAGATCAATTTAGAGCGTATGTATTTCAAATTAAAATTTTGTAATTTTGACTATTTTTTTATATTTTCAGAATGTTTCACAGGAACAATAAACACCTAGGGACATCTAACATGTTTAATAATTATTATAAATCTGTATCTCAAAAGTTTATAGAGATTTATCAAAGTTTGGAAAAAGAAAATGCAGAAAATTCTAATCAGGAACAATTATATAAAGAAGCGATTGAAGTATTAAGAAGGGATAAGGATATCAAAAAAGAAACTGAGCAAGAAGAACCTTTAAGTCTAAGTAGTGCCTTTAAAGAAGCTAAATCTAATCAAATTAAGGAGATGCCAAAGGTGGATGTCACTAACATTTTTAAAGACTAAAATAACTTTTAGAGCCTAGCATAGTGTTTTTTGTGTATATGAACTATGAAAGTAGATATTAAATTTTAATTACCATATATTTTTAATTAGTACATGAACATGTAAAATATAACAGAATTAGTTAATCTGTTCCTTGTAGAGGGAGCACACAGAATGGTGTTGCCCAGACATTTGCTATCAAGGTGGCAGAAGTCCACCAAATGAACACTTGCCAAAAATGGGGCATCTAGATACATGACTCGGCGACGTTATTAACCTGCCGGACTTTGATCTGAGAAGCAGGTTATCACTAGATACTCTTCATCAACAACCAGCAGATTTTTGATAACCTGTAGAATTTTGATGAGTTGATAATGTGCAAGACTTTGATAAGCTGAGTAGATGGCTGTCTCTAGAAACTCACCAGTGACAAGGAGCAAGTTTTTAATGAGTTGATAACCTACAGGACTTTGATGAACTGCGAAGATGGTTGTCTCTAGACACATCTCAGAAATAACCAGCAGATTTTTAACAAGTGGCAGATCATATATACCCCTAGAGGTTGCACAATGGGTCTTATTAGGCCTTAGTGCTGTGGAAGAACCTATCCTCCCCCAGATTACAGATAGTTATGAATAATGTTATAAAAAAATATTCATGTTTATACATCTGTAATCTATAACATGTGGAGGTTGGGTTACCCCCCCCCCCCCACAGCACTTAGGCCTCCCTAGGACCATTGTGCATCCTCCTAAGATGATAGGCACCTCCTAGCTCGTGAGCCAGCCTACAAATTTAATGTAGGTGACAACGTCGCCAAGAAGTGCTTCTCTTATATCGGCCTGTGTTAGCCGATACTCGCTGATCACAAATCTTCTAATAAATGAGAGCACAATCATAAAGGATATGCCCGATGGGCTCATCTTCTTGTTCGCACCCTCTGCAGAGTGCGGATTCTGACAGCCCTATGATATGGAGATATTTCCATACTTGGCAATAACTAGTCAGAATGCCTGTGACTAGGCGCAGATTCTGTCTAGTCATAGTCAAGTATTTGTTTACTGCAGTGTTGTCAGGATAACTTAAGAGCTCCCTGGCAACTCTGCAGTTTCTTGTTTCATCCCATCGTTCCTTGAATTTCATAAGGGAGTGTTCTTTAATTAGGTCGATCACTACAGATTTTGTCAGGTCAATAGAAGGGCCAGGTCCAAAAAGTATTTGGCTGGCCGCTTTCTTGGCTAGTGAATCAGCAAGACGGTTACCTTTTGATGTGGCATGACCTTTTATCCATCTTAAGGTGACCATATTGTTGATGGATACTTCGGCCAAAGCTTCGTGACATTCTAGTACTAACCCTGAGTAAATTCGTGGTCGGTCCAGGGTGAGTAGTGCTTGTCTGCTATCTGTATAAATGAGCTTGTTCCTTCCAGTGATATTGTTTCTGGTAATTTCTTTTGCTGCTATGAGAATCTCCGTTAGCTCTGTTTGAACTTCACTAGCACTATTGCTCACAGCCAATTTTATATTTAGGTTTAAGAATTTGGAGTATATTCCACATCCTGAGCCTTGTTTTGTTTTAGAACCATCAGTGTAGATATGAATCATACCTGCCACTTCCGGCTCTTCTATTTGTTCTGTTAAAACTTTATATGGCTTATGGAAGATATATCTTGGTGAGATGGAGTCCATGTTCACTTGAAGCAGTGGGAGCGTATTGAGCGCCTCCTGCCAAAAGCAACGTCTCGCCTCATCAGATTCTATTCCAATCGTGCGGAGGCGTGTCATTGTCACCCACTAACCATCTGTGGTACATTCCTGTTGGTTAGTGAATATTATCTTTGGGAAGGTGGTTTTATCAAAAACAGCTTCTATGTCTTTGAAAACACACAAGGCGGACTTCTTATTGTCCAGGATCTCTCTATCCGGCCAGAAACTGGATGAAGTTTTGAATCAATAAATTTGCCTGGGGTGTATGCATGTTGGTTTGGGTGTAGTGGTGTTGTGTTGTAATCACCTTCCGTATAGCCTTTCCAATGTCTTCATCGAAAACAATGTCAGACTAATTGGTTGGTATGTTTTTGGAACAATGTAATCCATCCTTCCAGATTCGGATATGAATACCACTTTTACCTCTCCATTTTTTGGGAATATACCTCAGAGCCAACGAGGATCTGAATGTACCCACCAGGTGCGGTGTAAGTTCTTCCAGACCCCACTAAATACCTTCAGGTCCCGGCGATTTAAATGGACAAGCTGGATATTGCCCATCTAATTTTTTCCTCGTCTACAATGTGTGGCAATTTGCAAACCATAGACAGATGGGTTGTATTCTTCCTCTTCCCAGCCTCAGACGACAGGATTTCATATAGGAATTGTTTATTGTGCTTTGGATAGTGTTCGAGTACTTCTCCAAAGCATTGTTATTGTTTGGTGCTTTGGCCTCCATCTCTCTCAGAGCCTCTTGGAGAAGGTGGGCATAGGTTGCCCTGTCCGTCTTCCTAGGGTTGCTCCTTCCCATGTTTTTAAGGTTGGTACCTTGGTTTTTAGCCATTCCAAGGTCCAGGTCATCATCGCACGTTACTCTGATGATTTCACCAGAGTGCCTCCAAGACTTGAACAACGAATGTGGGCCTTGGGTTTGCTGCAAGAGGCGGACAGCTTTCCCTTCAGTGTCTTTTTGACAAGAATTTCTCTTTCGGTCTTACCATAAGGGTTATCCTTGTCTATTATAGCTACTTTTAGGTGGCTCGTAGCTGCATCCTTGTAGCTTATCCCAGAGAGAACTTTGTGGTCCTGTCTGGGTTTTTTTTCCCTTCCGGGGCGTTACTTCGGAAGAGGTGTCTGGGTTTTTTTCCCTTCCGGGACGTTACTTCGGAAGAGGTGTGAAATCGCGTCCTTTTCTTGTCCCTAGTTGCGTCGTGTTCCTGGCCTCTTGTGGAGGCAGAACTAGCGTCGCTGCATAAGGACTTGATTAAGCCGCTTTTGTTTATTTTGAAGTAAGGGAGTTTGCTGAGGGTGCCGCCCAGACAGCACACCAAATCCTTTGGATATCTACTGAACATCCCAATATCCACTGAATGTCCAGTCCATGGTAGATATATATTTTATATCCATGAGATGTAATTTATAGACATGCAAATGTCCATAAATAATAGTAATTATATAGTAAATTATTAAAAAATTACGCCATTGTGGCTAATAGTACCGTTCAGATATTTAAAATTAATTTTTTTAAGGTGTATTCAATATCCCATGAACATCCACTAAATATATCAAAGTCTAGGCGCGAACGCAAACCATCGTGGATATCCACTAGATGTTATTTGATTCTGCTTACTAAGTATAGATGGCGATACCACTATCGCATCTACTCATGCTCGACCCGCCGTAATAGAGTTCGATCGAAATTTTTGTCCTACAGACTCCATTAGAGACTGGAGTCGAGAATTTCCATTTATTGCTGAAGAGTCCTAATAAGGATGACTTTTCCTTAGTGGGCAAAATCAAAGGCAGAGTGTTGAAAATATTTTTTATCTCTGCTATATATTTTCTTTCGACGTTATTCAATAATCATTGGTTACTTATGAACCTCTACTAAAGATACCCATAAAATATTTTGTTGAATATCCGAATATCTTCTACATCCTGGGATATAGACATACATTTGCTTGGATGCCCATATTGGATATATTGAATATCCACAAAATATATTCTGTGGATATCTCTGGGATTTCTTGTATTTTCTGGAAGATACCCATTAGATATTTTGATGAATATCCATTAGGATATCTTCTATATTCTGAATATAGACGAACATTTGGATATCCATATTAGATCCACGGAATATTTCTGATATCCTGTAAGATATATTGGATATATCCACAAAAGATATTCTGTGGATATCTCTGGGATTTGGTGTGTTGTCTGGGCGGATGCCGTAGCACTGCCTGCAGCTTATCCCTCTTCCTTCTCTTTGCTTCAGACCCAGAGATTATCTTGCCTTTCCGGGGCCAGTTAGTTGGAGGTGAATTATACTGTGTCATTCTCCTTTTTTGGAGGTGGGCGTCGCTGTCCAGCCTCCTGTGCATTATTAGCTCTTCATTTCAATAAATACCTATGTGGTTTATGTAAATGAGAAATAACCACATAAAATGGAATTTAATGTAGAACAGTTACAATATCTAAGAATATGTTTCAACCTTTTTAAGCTATTGCATAGCTTTTATCGCGGGCTTTGAGCGCAGCGACCGAATCAAGAAATTTCGTAACACCGTAACGAAAATAAACCTAACACCCCCCACTCCGACCGGCACAGCGGTGCGACGTTGAAACTTTCAACTTGAAAGCCGTGGAAGGTTTTATCCGACCCTATTGTAATAGTATGAAGCGGAGTTAAATATACGTCTGCGGACTGGAACGTTTATGCAATACAAGAACTAGAAGGAGCTTTCTTTGGCTTCTAATAAATTGGTATCACAAATGTTCCCGCCTGGCGTAAATATTAGAGATATTAATTTTTTTGCAAGATTTATAAAATATTAATTTTTATTTTATCAGTGTTAACTATTTCATTATTAAGCTATTGCATAGATTTTATCGCGGGCTTTAAGCGCGGCGACCGAATCAAGAAATTCCGTAACGAAAATAAACCTAACACCCTCGAAAAATCCAAAAATCGAAAAATAAATTCCGTAACGAAAATAAACCTAGCACCCCCCACTCCGACCGGCACCAGAGGTGCGGCGTTGAAAGCCGTGCATCGTCTAACGTCGTTTCAGTTCGGCAGACTTTGGCACGGTGTTTGTGTGCGTGCGACTAGACGTATGCATGTAGACTAGCTACTAACTGCTCATAACCGATTCTATCTCTTTTAGACACAATTTCGGAAAAATTGAATTTAAAAATGAATAATATGATCCACAAGAATTCACAACATAATATGGGACCACCATTGACGCGGTATTTTCCAGATATTTAGAGAATATCAAGTCTCAAATTTATGTTTCTTATTTCAGTTACCATAAACCTATAGTTTCAAAGATAAAAATTCCTGAATAACCTACATGTATTGTACGATAATAAAAATATTTTAAACAATATTAACTTCTCATTTATTCAATAAATGAAAAAAATTTGTTTTCTTATCGGTCACCACGCTCAAAAAGTGTAACTTGAATTAATATCAAAGAAAAAACTTGAATAATATCAAAGAAAAAAAAATACTGCATAAATAAAATAAAAAATAATTATAATTGCATAAGTTGATAAAAAAATGCCATGCAATAGCTTTACTGCGGCAGTCCCCGAGTGTCATATAATATTGCAAAATGTTTCTTCTGTCTAAATGTTAATATTTTGGGGGAGGTGGAATTAAAAGAAGATATTCCATAAATATGTTTCATTTTTGTATGGAGTCTAGTGGCTTGAAAAAGTTAGGAGATTGTTAAGGGTTGCCTTGTTAATCTGATGTGACTTCAAATATGATTGTATTGTATATATTTATTAATGCATTCTTCATCACCTAGTGTGTGCAATAACAAGGCCCTTTGAGTTTTTAATGGGTTTCCTTCTACCTGTGTAAGTTTTTCTAGACCACAATGGACGATGGGAGAGATAAAAAAAGGGGTCTATTCTGTAACAATTCCTTTATATTTAACGGCCTTTAAAAATATTGGCGACCTTTAAAAATATTTTCGTATTCGTTAATTTACTTGTCATTATTTAAACAGATTTCTTTAAGATAGTTCTCTAATGTATTTTAAAGATCCGTTTAAATAATGACAGAAGTAAAGAATAAATTTTTTTTAAGGCCGTTAAAATTAAAGGAATTGTTACAGAATAGACCCCAGAATAACCTATTCTGTAACAATTCCTTTATATTGTCAGGCCTTTAAAAATATTGGCGGCCTTTAAAATATTTTCGTATTCGTTAATTTACTTCTGTCATTACTTAAACAGATTTCTTTAAGATAGTTCTTTAATGTATTTCAAAGATCCGTTTAAATAATGACAGAAGTAAAGAAGAAAATATTTTTAAAGGCCGTTAAATATAAAGGAATTGTTACAGAATAGACCCCATATACCTACCTTTAAATCGTTCGAATTACATGATAGCAGTTACCCTGCCTTTTCCAATGATTATGCAACCAACATTACACCAACGTGTTGTATGTTGTATTATTATTTCAAAAATATAACCTACAAAACAAAAATGTAGGTGTAGGTACTTTAAATTTAAAACAGAATTTAAAACTTAAATAGAATGGGAGCAAGTATTAAAATATTAACATTTTTAAATCATATGAAATATACAAGAAACTGTTATAACAAACCGAATTCGTAAGTTTTGTGTTATAGTTTTTTCAAGTGATTATCAATTTCATTTCAGTTTAATTGGATTCCACTCTAGCAAGCGAAAATATTGTATACATTCTGAAGAACCCATAGAAAATTTTGCAGAAATTCCAATAGAACGAATTAGAAATTTTAGCATAATAGCACATGTAGATCATGGCAAAAGCACTTTGGCAGACAGATTACTCGAACTTACTGGTACCATAAAAGGTGGTCAACAAAATCAAATACTAGACAAATTACAAGTTGAACGAGAAAGGGGGATAACAGTAAAAGCACAATCAGCTTCATTGTTGTATAAATACAATGGGGATATTTATCTTTTAAACCTGATTGATACACCAGGTCATGTAGACTTTTCTAATGAGGTAAATAAATAAAATTACATATAATATACGAGTATGATATTTATTAATTTTTAGAATAGAGTAAACTATGTAAGTGTCGATATCCTCTTTTCTCATAACATAACTCCAGGTGAGTATGGAAAGTACACACTTTTTGTTCTGACGTTTTTTTAACTAGCGTTCTGTCTTCGAGCATATAAAGAACGTTAGTTAAAGACACGTCAGGGTTACATTCGACTTAAAAGACACACGAATTTCAAAAAAAAATTTGTACTATTAGAAAGTAAAGAAGTTATATATCATGACAATTAAAAAAAATTTGGAGATTATCCACGATTAAGCGAGAAATTTAATATTAAAATCTCAAAAATTGCACATTTTTAAACAAATATTTTGACTTATGTGCACAAGGTTGCCAAGTATTTTAAGATGTAAAAAGATATAATTAATTTGTAAACTCGTAAATTATTATACTTTTATGATTTGTTTATTTTAATCAAAATAATCAATAGAATTTTGTGATAAAATACCAGAATCTGTATCAAACATCGCTCCCCGACCCCTAACACAGATCAAAGAATAATATCTGTTTATATCAGCTCATACAATTGTTTATAAAATTAAACAGCAATCCTTTGTAAGTTTTTATAACTTACTGACATTTCACATGACATTTTTGAGTAATTTCTAAAAATACAATGTTACAAAATCATTTTATTTGACTCATTCAACATAAAATTTCACTCTAAATTCTCTGCTACCTGGTCATACTGTTAATACCCAGACTTTTTAAATATTGCGGGTAACGGCCGAAATAGTAACAAGTAATAAATTAATCTTGGCAACCACGCTCATTATCCAGAAAAGAAATGTCAAATATTAAATTTTTCAAGTTTAGGTTAAATTTGATAAAATACTCATTTTCTTATTTTCAAAAAGTATTTAATTAAAATATATTTGATTTATACTTTTTTTCCAAACCTAAGGTGAGTTAAAATCATACTTAATATCATTTAAATCAAAAAAATAAAGTAAAACTGGTCAAACAGTGTGTCCCTAAAGTCGGACGTAACCCACGTCAGAACAAAAAGTGGGTAGGTACTTTCCATACTCACCATATAGGTATATCTAGATGTTGAAAGTTCTATTTTTTATGGTGTTATGAATTTCTATAAAAAATGTTTGTTCCTTTTGATTATTTTAATATTGGATGATATATAACAACATAACAAGTTGTTTGATGATTTTTTTTTCAAAAGTAGGTAGGTATATGTTCATATCGATTGTGATATTTCAAAGGTATGTAATATGTAAATAACATAAATATATCTAACTGTGATATTAAAATATCCGATATTTTTACTAAATTAGCAGCTTTAGAAATGTATAAGAGTCCTGGGCCAGATGGAATTCCTCCATCTACTCTAAAACAATATTCCTTTATTTTAGCACAACCACTGTTCATAATTTTTAACTTTTGGCTTAATCTGGGCATATTTCCAAGAGTCTGGAAGACAAGTTTTTAAATCTGGCAACAAATCTGAAGTGAAGAATTATCGAGGAATCAGTATCTTGAGTACTATACCAAAATTATTTGAAAATATCCAATCCATTAACAGCCGTCGAAACAAAAAAGATCTTATAATGTTATATAACATTCTTAATTATGTAGTTCCATGTCCTCAATTATTACAAGCGATAGGAATTCATGTTCCACCCAGGAATATCTGTGCATCAAACACTTTTCAAATACCTACCCTTCCACAGAACGAATTATTCTGCTAGGCTGGCAAATACCATGGAAACTCTTAAGGCTGCTGTTTGGTATAATTTATTCTAATCTTTTTAATGAAGGTGTATTTTTTAATGTACTTAATTTACATTAATATTTTTTGTATTTTAAATATTAATTTGTTTATTTTTTGTTAGTTTTCGATTATGTTCTATAATATTATACCAAACATTGTACCTAACTGAAAAGGAAATTTTCCCGTTAATATACAGGGTGTTTATTAATTGAGTGCCGATACTTAAGGGTGTGAATCCTTGGGTGATTTTAAGAAGAAAAGTTAATATCAACATATGTCGTAAATCTCTTAATTTTTGAGCTACAGGGTGTTACAGTTTTAAGAAAAAAATATAATTTTTTTTATAATTTTCTTATCACTGCAGATATTTCTATGAAATTTTGCAAACACCTTTTAATCATTAAGGAGCATTTTTTGACGTACAAGATTTTTTTAAATTTTTACCAGTGACTTCCGTACGGGGTTTGAACTGAATATTTTTGAAGAAAAAAATTGTACGCTACTGCTTTTTCTAAAATCCAAAATTATTTTTGAAATATTCATTTATTTTAGAGCAAATTTGGCCCATAGACTTGCTTTCGTACGATGCACTGTGTTAGCGTAAAAAAATAAAAACCAAAATTTTTTTTTTCTTAAGCTGCTTTTGATTTTTTGTTGAAATATGGTAGGCACCCACCATGCGTGAAAACACTTATTTTGGGACAAAAATTAATTTTCTACTTCCACCAGTGACGGCCACGTAGGCATCATATTGAATGTTTGGATAGAAAAAAAAAACGTACACCTCTGATTTTTTTAAATTCTATGTATTTTAAAAATCGGGATTTATTTATAGTAAAATGAAAATTCAAAATCTTGAATCTAAAACGAAATTACAAGAGAATACAAACAAAATAAAGAACCCAAATTATTTACAGTAATTGTTGGAAGTGTCCTCCACCCACACGTATGCAAGCATCTACTCTTCTTCGCATAGACTGACGCACATTTTCAAAGATTCCTGGGGTGTTTCTTATGGTTTGGCAGCAGACTGTTATACGATTTCGTAACCCTTCTTCGGTTTTTATCGGCACTGCGTACACTAAGCTTTTCAGATGCCCCCAGAAAAAGAAGTCTAAACTATTAAGGTCGGGAGATCTAGGCGGCCATGACTGCGTTCCTCCGCGACCTATCCACCGATTGCGATAGGTGTGATTTAAAAATTCACGCACTCGTAAGCTAAAATGTGGAGGCGCACCATCGTGCATTAGCCACATCTGGTTTCTTAATAAAAGAGGAAGGTCTTCAAGCATTGGTGGCAGATCATCTTCAAGGAAGTGTAAATATGATTGTCCATCAAGTCTTCTAGGGAGAAAAAATGGGCCTATTAAATAATCATCAATAATGCCAGCCCAAACATTTAATGAGAACTGTTTTTGATGATTTGACTCAACAATTGCATAAGGGTTTTCATCCGCCCATAAATGGTTATTATAGAAATTTATTATTGAGTTTCGAGAAAAATTAGCTTCATCGGTAAAAAGAATGTGCCTGTCAAATAATGGATTTTCCAGCAGGTTTTGAAGAAACCACTCACAGAAATTAATGCGCAACTGGAAATCTCTAGGGAGTAATGCCTGGACTCTTTGAATGTGATATGGGTATAACAAATTTTCGATGAGAATTTTCCAAACAAGTACATTTGAAACATTAAATGTTGACGCGATTCTCCTCGTGCTAGTTTCGGGGTTCTCCTCAATTTCATGTAAAATTCCTTCTTCAAGTTCCGGTGTTCTTACTGTTTGATGGACTTCTTTAGCCCTGTGGTCTACTTTTAAAGTTCCGGTCTCGTGAAGACGTCTATGAATCCTAGAAAATGTTCTCGGATCGGGTAGTACGCGATTTGGATACCGCTCTTGGTATATCCGTCTGGCTTCGTATGCATTTCCATCTGCAAGCCCATAACTAAAATGCATGTCAGCTAATTCACTGTTTGTAAAATTTACCATTTTTTTTCAGATTTTAACTCTTACTCTAATAATAATTATTTAATAATGTAAAATCAATGTCAACTTTATTGTCTTTATGAAAAGAAACGTCAAAAATGATGACGCTTTACCCAGCCTACTAATGTTTATTTCATTTGCTTTAAGAGGGCAATAATTTTTTTCTATTCAAAACGTAGAAAATTAATTTTTGTCCCAAAAAAATGTTTCCACGCATGGTGGGTGCCTACCAGATTTCAACAAAATATCAAAAGCAGTAGGTATCAATGAATTTAAGGAAAAAATTTGACCAACCACTACAATGGTTTTTATTTTTTTACGCGAAAACGGTGCATCGTACGAAAGTAAATCTATGAGCCAAGTTTGCTCCAAAATAAATGATGATTTCAAAAATAATTTTGGTTTTCAGAAAAAGCAGTGGCGTACCATTTTTTTCTTCAAAAATATTCAGTTCAAACACCGTACGGACGTCACTGGTAAAAAATTTAAAAAAATCTTATACGTCAAAAAATGCCCCTTAATTATTAAAACGTGTGTACAAAATTTCATAGAAATATCTGGAGTGATAAAAAAATTATGATAAAAAAGTAATTTTTTTCTTAAAACTGTAACACCCTGTAGCTCAAAAATTAAGTGAGTTACGACATATGTTGATATTAACTTTTCTTCTTAAAATCACCCTTAAGTATCGGCACTCAATTAATAAACACCCTGTATATATAAATAAATAAAAACATGGTAGTTTTAAAAATAAGGTCATTCTGTGAAGGTGCTTTGCCTCTATCTTGTCATATATAACTCCCTTATTAAAACGAATTTCAATTTATTTCAGGTTCACAGGTCACTGTCAGTTTGTCAAGGTGTAATTTTATTAGTAGATTCCAATGATGGGGTGCAAGCTCAAACTGTTGCAAATTTTTACCTTGCATTTGTGAACGATTTGGTTATAATACCAGTTCTTAATAAGATTGATTTGAAGAATGCCGATCCAGAAAGAGTCAGTAAACAACTAAAATCACTGTTTGAAATCAATCCAGATGAAATACTTAAGGTAAACCTCTTTATTTATTAATGTTTTATTCATGAATGTCTCTAACGATAGCACCTCCATATTACTTAAAAAATTTCAAAAATCACCTATTTTCCAAATTTTGAGATATCACATTATTTATATATGCCCCAATCCACATCTTCCTAGCTCAAACGGTTGCTGAAATATTTAACAAAAACTCCCCTTTTTTTGTTAAAATTCCCCCAAATTTGATTTAAATCCTATTCTCTTTCCTTACATATAATTCATCCATGATGTATTTGTGCACGAATATTATATGGATGCGTATTAAGTCTCATTTCATAAAATGCATATTGCATCTGTATTTGGTGAGCATGGAGCCCTTTTTCTCTTTAAAAATTTGAAAAGGTACATTTTGATTTTCGAAAATTTTGAGCTATCGAGATAGAATATAATTTAATTAACTGTCACTAAAACAAATTATTAATAGCAGATCACAACAGAATATAACAATATATTTATATGCTCCTTTTTAAAGGGTTCAATGAGAAAAGTTCAATGCCCAAACGGCATATTCATAGCTCAAACCATTTTATTTATCTATGACTCAAACAGTTGCCTAAATATTTTCAAAGTTAGTGAATTCTGTAGTTAAAAGTAACCCAAATAGGAGCCAAAATACCATTCTGCCCTTACTAATAATGCCACCGTAATTGCACTGTGCACAAACGTTATACATGAGCGTACTTATTCACTTGCTTGCACAGAATGCATATCACGACAATATTTGGCGACTTGTAATATACCAATTTGTATGTCTCATTGACTAGATTCCAAATTTGTTGAACTAACGTCAAGAATAGCATAGATATGGACATTTAAAGAAATTCGCAAAAAAATCGATTTCGATTTCTGACAAAAAAGGTCAAAAATTTGGACGTGTTTTTTCATGGGAAGGCAATTTTGAGGCATACTTTTCAAAGTGTGTTTATTTTTTTGGCTATATTTATAGGAAGTGCCTTAAAATCGCTATTAAGCAGTGGCCGCGTCTGAATAGGGTCATTTGCGCAGTGATGTTTTATCTAAAATAATTTGAAATATAAAAACCAAAATAATTATAATAGTTAATTGTTTTTAATGCAAAGTTGCAATTGTCCTAAAATGTAATTTTCTAAATAAGTATGTATATTGGCGATTCAGAAAATTGAAAATTATGAATTCAAACTAAAAATAAATAATTGAACTTCATATAATATAAAGCCATGTTTATCAATCACCATGAATCAAGAAATACTGTTTGCAATTCCATTATCGACTATAGAAAGTTATTTTTAAATAAAAATATTTTAATTGACTTGTGATAAATCATTTTGCAGTTTCTAAGGAGTAAAGAATCTCTATTAAATCTGTATCAACTTTTATATAAGTTATTTTTTGGATTGTCCCAAAAATAATGCACAGCGCGCTTTAGCGGGCGTTGTAGGAAACGTAGACAGCAAAGTTGTTGTGATGATTTTGCACGATAATGCACGCTGCCATATCAGTGCACTGATCATCGAACTTCTCGAAAAATACGGCTAGTCTTCATAGGCAGTACCTTTCCCTAAATTTGACATTAGCTACTGGAGCTGATTAGCAACTATGATATGGGTGACAAAAATTGATTTTTAAAGTTTATTCTATTTGCCATTTGACTCTATCTATTATTATTATTATTCCTACTATTTTTGTTTTGAACTCTTTTCCCCTAGAACCCAACAAAATTTCTATAACATTACATGGATATTTAAATCTATTTTCAAGTAAATTAAAATAAAAATAGATTTCAGCAAAATTGGGAATTGGAATTGATAATGTTTTACAAAATATTATAACAAAAATCCCAAGTCCGAAAGTGGATAGATCATCAAAATTAAGAGCTTTATTATTTGACTGCACATATGACAGATATAGAGGAGCTCTGAGCCTGATTTATATACAAGATGGATGCATTTCTTTGGGGGATTCAATTACCACCTTCCATAACAAAAAGGACTATGAAGTTAGGACACTTTCTCTCCTGCGACCAGATGAAGTTCGTGTTAAGAAATTGTATGTTTTTATTTTTTTTTTAACTTAAATGCTTGTTTATTTAATTTCAGTAAATTAATTTGTTGGCGATTATACAAAAATACTCCATAATAATATAATATATTTGAAAGCAAGTAAATTATTAGAAATATTTCTTTTTTTAATAGGTTTTTCTGGCCAAAATTAATGAAGTTGGACAGAAATTAACTTTAAAATATATTCAAAAATATTTATTAAATTACTCTTCTTTAGATCGAAAAAAATTCTTTTTAGTTATATTTTTCAAATTTCAAGTTTACAGAATTTTACTTTTTATACTAGTTGCAGACTTTTATTCGTATTACCCATTATATCACAATAGTAGCCAGAGTTAGTGATAAGCTAAAATATTGATACAAATATGTACTTACTGTGAAATTAAAAATGCAAATAGACTGTTCTATAATAAATTAATGGTATAATACAAGCGACTTCAAAACCCACAAAAGGCATCAGAAACTCAATAACACAAAACTAAACTGACAAACAACAGAAACATCAGAATGTATTATTCCATACAATTAATTACACTTATTAAATTGTAGAATATGTTTTCTATATCAATATACCCAGACAGCACACCAAATCCTTTGGATATCTACTGAACATCCCAATATCCACTGAATGCCCAGTCCATGGTAGATATCTATTTTATATCCATGAGATGTAATTTATAGACATGCAAATGTCCATAAATAATAGTAATTATATAGCAAATTATTAAAAAATTACGCCATTGTGCTCGCCATTGTTGCTGCTCATATGCTACTGCTAGTTTAAAATAAGCTCCAACTTCTATGTCATACTTATACGTCGATAAACCTATAAGGCATCTCCATCCCTTTCCAACTTTTAAATATAATTTTTATTAAATTCTGGTAACATATTTTGGGGACATACATTTTCATTAATAAAAAAGAAACAATAATTATTATATATACTGATACTAACAATGAAATCGGCTAGTTTCCTAAAAATCTTTTCTGATAAATTTTAAATATAATTGTATATTTCTTTTTAGAGTAGCGGGACAGATAGGCCTTGTTGGTTGCAATATGAGGTCACCTAAAGAGGCTCATATTGGTGATACTATTTATCACAGTACTTGTTTAATAGAGCCTCTAGAGGGCTTTAAATTGTCACAACCCATGGTTTTTGCTGGAGTATATCCCATGGATCAATCTCAACACATTAATTTAAGGAACGCTATTGAAAAGTTAACTTTAAATGATTCTGCGGTTTCTGTAGAATTGGATACGAGGTAATTAAATATCAACTTTATAAATCATCTGAATAATATACAACTATTAAGAGCCAATCTTTTCACCTCTGAGTAAAGTTGAAAGTAACTACTTGCTGATTGAACTATAGGGATATTGTTTGTTAATCTGTCAAGTAAACCTACATGTAACTTTACTCAGAGGTGAAAAGATCGACCCTAAATCTAATTAAATTTCTTTATAATTTTATAAATTGAAATAAAAAGGTGATTATCGTGACAGTCTTAATTTGTTGCTAAAAAATATTGACAAATATTCTGATGCTTCATTTCAACTAAAAATAAGGATTGATACAGTTATTTTGTTTTTAAAGTCCTGCTTTAGGTCAAGGCTGGAGGCTAGGTTTTTTGGGGCTACTGCATCTGGAAGTTTTTACGCAGAGGTTGACTCAAGAATATGGCGCAGAACCGATTATTACGGCGCCATCTGTAACTTATAAAATTAAGCTGAAACCTACAAAGCAAAACGTCAAAGATGGATCAGATGTGATGTATGTCAACAACCCCGCAAATTTTCCGGAACAAATGAAAATTGAACAAACGTTTGAACCTATGATTATAGGTATTTAATATTTTAGATTTAAACTGTATATGTATATGAAGTGTGGCTAAAAAAAACGGATTAGTGCTATACAATCGTTTGTTGCTTTTCATTCACAATTTTAACATTATCTTCTTCAATATAGTTCCCTCTACAATCCAATGCACATTTTTTATTAGCCATAGCAATTATTTTTTGAAAGTATGTTCATGGTCTCCCTGCTGCTTTTTCATTGTCAGCTCTAATACCTTAAATATGGATCCTTTGAGTGCTGATTTGAACTGGAGTAATAAAAAAAGTCAATCATGGGGTGAACTCCGGTCGGAAAGGGTAAAGTTTTCTCCTGGTTTGAAGTTCCTCATTTTGATGAATTATCTGAGGTGTGCCGCACCTTGTAGCTGCTTGCTTCTAGCATTGTATTAAGATCAACTAGTAGAACAATACCAATGCAAATTATCTTGGAGGATAATGGACAATATCAATAGATGGCGCAAGCTCCGTGATGTTCAAGTCATGTCTTTGATTATTTTGTCGTCTTCTACCGAACCATCGAACGGTTTTCGAAACTGAATATTTGTTTTAAAAATGAGATAAACGAGTTTAATTATGCTTGGTGAACATTTATTTAAGATTTATCATCATTTTAGAAAATATAAACAATATTAATTTATATTTGGCAGTCTACCCAAATGAATTTAAAAATTAAGAAAACTTTGTGTATATAGAATTCTATACTCAATGATCGAGGAAGCGCTAGCGCTCGGGCCATTTTGATGAAGTTCTGTACTTGTTCTAGCAGATGTCGCGACAGAATTGCCTCCAATGAAACGTCCATAAGGTTGTTCTACTATCTTATCTAAATAAAATGCTTGTAGTCTGTAGTTGAATATCTTGTTAAAGGTTAAATAATTATCTCGAGAAATAAAATTGGTTTTGTCACATTTATTTATTGAGTGGTAATAATTGTTAAAAGGTGTTTTTTTGTTACAACTTGTTATGAAATGAAAATGGCAGAAAATATTGCGCTTGTTCTCTTGATTCCCGCAGAAATTTCCGGCGAAACACAGATGCAAAGGCCACTTCAAACGGCTCAATTAAGCCATCAAGTAACCTTTACAATTATAGCAATAGAGAGGACACGCTCGTGTTCCGTTTAACCTTGACGCTCTCATCTTTTTGCCTGCAGAACGATCAATCCGGTTATTTTCTAGCCCCATCTCGTATTAATTACTAAAATCACATTTTTCATTAGGTACTATTGTAACGCCAGATAAATACCTTGGGGCAATAATGTCATTGTGTATGGAACGCAGAGGCGTACAAAGAAGCGCAAATAATATAGACAATGAAAGAGTAATTTTACAGTATGACTTACCACTATGCGAAGTTGTTTTGGATTTTCATGATACTTTGAAAACTATTTCTTCAGGATATGCTAGCTTCGATTATGAAAACACTGGTTACCAAGAGAGCAGCATGGTTAAGGTGAACATTTATAAAATATTCATAATTTTTCATTACATTTTATATTTGCGCATTTTAGTTAGCGATCTTATTAAACGGGACTTTGGTAGATGAACTGAGTAATATTGTACACGTAACCAAAGCAAAAACCATCGGTAAACAGATGGTATTCAAATTAAAAGACATTATTCCCAGGCAAATGGTGCATATAGCAGTTCAAGCTACTGTCAATGGTAAAGTAATGGCCAGAGAAAATATAAAACCTTATAGAAAAGACGTGACGGCAAAATTAGTAAGTAAACATAGTTTAATTTTAACAGTATCCATCCAATATTCATCAAAACAGTTTTTTTATATTCTAAAATACAAGTAAATACCCAGCTTCAGCGTATGACGCAGTGGTGCATCGTTTGTTGGTGGGAGATCAGCAGTATATTATTACTTTCCTATCTGTATACAGATAAGGAACGTATAGGAATCATGATTTTTTTTCGACGGATTTGTGTGCGCGCGCGCGTGTGGTGTGTCTATCTTTATCCTCGATAACTCATGAACGGATACAAAGAAAAACAACAAATTTTAAACTTAAGCTTTGTTCTGGCCTCCTGTGAACTGATTAGATTTTGGGCAGAGTCGGAACATCTGGGGGGTACTTTATAGGGGGTCATTATTATATTTTATAGAATATATCTGTTATTTATGTTTGGAAAAAAAAATTCTTCAAATAAAAGTTACTTCTAATATTATTCTCTATGATTCTTGCTTCATACAAAATTTTCCCGAAATATGGTCCGTATTCGAGAAATTTGACAAAATGTGCAAATTTGTGATTTTTAAGAAAATTGTTGAACTAAAAGTTGTTTGCGATATCGATCTCTATAATTTTTGTTTTTTACATGATTTATCTAAAATGGACCGTAATGGAAAAATTGGAGGAAAAGTGCTAAATTTAAATTTTTCAGAATTTTCGTTTTCAATGAATATATTATATAGAAAAATGTTTCGAGTTAGATGTATGTATTTAGTTTCATTTACGGAGGTGCTGCAATAGGTTGTACAAAATAACCGGAAAAAGCCTGTAATAACTAGATAGGAAAGTCATGTGTTGGACACATCAGATTTTTAATATTATACAAATTTTAGATGAAACAGATTTTTTTTTCGTTTGTTATTTTAAGGTGTATGTTCATAAATCTTTGATCATTAACCGATGTTAATGAATTAACCATTGTCCTCTTACTCACAAAAATATTAATAATTTGAATTTTTAGTACGGCGGTGATATTACTAGAAGAATGAAACTTTTAGCCCAACAAGCAGCTGGCAAGAAAAAAATGAGAATGGTTGCCAATATTTCACTTCCAAGAGAAACTTTTATAGATGTTTTGAAGAAATAAATGTGTAAATGGTGTTTGTTGAAATATTAAACCTGTTGGCCAACAAGCAACTAGCACAAAAATGATTATAGTGGTCATAAGAGAAAAATATCTACAGATGTACATAGAAATATGTACATAATAATATGATATAAAATAGTGTATATATTTTTTTTAATATAAAATGAAAAGTTTTTTGTTTTTAATAATCCACTTATTACCAAACGACTAAGAATTTTGAGAACATATTCTGTGAAAGAATGCAAGTAGCTCTCAAAATTATAGAACAGTGGTGCAAGGACTATATCAATCCCAAGAAGACAGAAATGGTCCCTTTCACAAGGAAAATGATGAAAATATGATTAAAACATCCAGAGCTCCTAAACACAAAACTAAACTTTCCAACAGAAGTGACGTACCTAGGTCTCACCTTTGACAGTTAACATGGAACTCACACCTAGAAAACAGTAAAAAAAAACAATTGCTTTTAAACAATGCCGTCGAACCGTGGGGCGCACCCTGCAGTCCTGTTCATGACTAGTAGCAAATTTCAAGGTCACTTGTAAAGTCTGACCTTACGAACGCTATAGCAAATTGTGTATTCTTGATTATATGCAAGACATTCGAGTAGTATAAAACTGCGAGTGGGTATTATCAATCGGAAACTACTTGCGTGTACGTTTAATGAATTGACTTGTGTCATATGTGTTTAGTTTTTAATTTAAGGATTTTTTTTTGGAATATTATACATACTAAAAACCTTGAGGATGCGGTTATAACATGGTTATACATATATAATTTGTTTGATATTTTTAGTAAACATCAGTTTGTGCAAACATTTAGAATTTCAAAACAATTGTGTACATTTTTAATAAATGCACTCTCGCCCTATATGAGACCTCAGATTAAATATAAATTAACAGATATCATTTATTTGATTAGTGTTAAGAATACCCTTAACATAAATAATTTCAAGACCGCGTCTGTAACATTCACTTAGGTAATAATTCAAAGCTAGGTTGGCAAACTCAATAAAGTGAAATTAACTATATAGCGCGCTTGCTGTCCAATGCGCTAGTTCAGTGATGATGAAATTATGGTTCCACTGACAATTAAAGTGACAGTAGATTTTTTGAGTGCGTTTTGTTTACCTAAATTATATCGTTTTTTTACTTTTATAAATATATTCCTAAAGTAAGTAGATAGCATGTATCAAATATACAATCGTTTAGTTACCAATTACATACCTTTAAACTATTTCTTATGACCTGTAAACAATATTTTGAAATAAAATAAAAACAGTAAAAACGTATATGTCAAATTTATTAATGTTTTTGTTAAAAGTTGGTTAGAACTAAATGTCAGTGGAACCAAAATGACACACACTGAACCAGCGCATACAGATAAACGAATTTGAAATCAATAGTAACGATTGGACAAAGAAAGGTTATTGGTAATATGTAAGCTCAAAAATTATTGAGCGAGCCTCAACGGTTGTTAAAAGCGCGGCACCTAGGCAGATTCGTCTCACCGTTCGTAGCATACAGATCAACAGGGGTATTAAATCCACGCCAACAATGGCGACTAAGTATAAATATTCCGAATAAGAAGCTTATGTCTGTGTAAATACAAACCAGATTATGTAGTGTGGTGTTCTCTTTACAAAATAAACAGTGTTAAAGGCAGAGGTGCGTGTTTTCTTCTCTCGTCGATAGTTTAGCCCAGAGCCGGCAACTTTCTTAAAACATGGATTACAGTCCGCTTTTGAAATATAGCCTAGTGGAGTCTGCGTAAGATAAATACCTTAACAGGCTTCACAAACAAGTAGGATTCTGATTTAGTAGCTTTAGGGTTTTTCTTGCGCTAGGAAGCTGTAAAATGAACATTGGTAGAAATGTATATTTGTATCAGTTTCCCAGGCGTGAGTGTACCGATGCACTAAATAAATCAACAGTGCATTGAGTGAACCAGATTATTTTTAACATATTTAACATTTCTCAAGAAATTTTGAAGATCTAAATTCACTCAGATAATGAAAACTCTCAATCCATGATATAAAATATTAGCATCATGCTGTCATTCAGTGATTCATTTTGATACAATTATAACGTTGTCAAAATGAGAATATAGAACATTCGCAAGTAATTGCGAAGGGGTCTCAAGAATCTCATTTAGGAAAGTATGCTCAAGTGAATCTTTCGCAAGGTTGAGTATACGTGTAATTGCGAAGGATGTCAAGAATAGCGCTGCTGGGGGTCTTTCCCAGAGCCGTCGCATGGACTTACACGGCCATCATAACACCTATGCTAACATACGGTGCAGGTGTCTTTTGGCAGGAGGCGCTCGATAATCTTTCACTGCTTCAAGCGAACATGAACTCCATCTCACCGATATATATCTTTCATAAGCCATATAAAGTTATAACAGAACAAATAGAAGAGCCGGAAGTCTCGGGTACGATTCATATCTACACCGACGGTTCTAAAAACCAGGCTCAGGATGTGGAATATACTCTAGAACCTTAAACATAAAATGGGCTGTGAGCAGTAGTGCCAGTGTAGTTCAAAGCGAGCTCACGGGGATTCTCATATAGTAGCAAATGAAATCGCCAGAAATATAACTGGAACGACAGGGGCGGAAACTCTTTAAGGCCGCATAGCCGCTCGTCTTTCTTCAACAATACCAGAGAATTAAAAATATTTATTTTATAATTTTTCGTATCGTCTCGACACATGCTACGAGTTATATTCCCCTCCAACTTCCTATAATCACAATTTATGAGCTCTTTGACTATACTATAGACCGCAGTTAAGATTGATGCCCGCGTCAGCACGGAAACGTAGTGGGACACGCGCTAACAAGTACTTCTTGTCGGCCGTTTTAGTACAGATTAGGGCGCAATTTTTTCGAGGCGGACCAAAATTTAGATGATGCAGCATCAGGCGACCATTTTATAGTTTTCACGGAATTTTTACGAAGCACCATGCTAAATGATTGATTAACCGCCTTAGCTATATGATATCAATAAATGAAAAATTAGTTTTGGAGATAAATAATTTCGACGAAAAAGTCATCATGGAAATATTTATTTTTGTAAGATGTTTTACTATAAAAAATATATTTTATTTTGTTTATTGACTATTGACAAGGCGCAGTATGCATAGTGTGGTATTTTTTCTATGTTAATGAAAAAATACAAAATAAATAACAAATTTTCCATAATTCCCACTATCAAGCCAATTGGCGAGTCGCCACTGTGGAAGGAACATGCTCATCTATACAAGCACTACTCACCCTGGACATACCACGAATTTATTCAGGGTTAGTACTTGAATGTCACGAAGCTGGCAGAAGTATCATCAACAATGTGGCAAACTTAAGATGGATTAAAGGTCACGCCACATCAAAAGGTAATCGTCTTGCGAATTCATAAAAAAATAGTTTTTCTGATTTTGACATATAAAGTGACATTTTTTGTAATCGCAGCAAGTGTCAAAATAATCTACTTTACGCAGCCAGTTGCATAATGTTGAACATTATAAAACTGATTTCGAAATAGCTATTTATGAAACAAGCTACAAAATCCCTTATTTTATGTAACTAGTGAATATTTGCGAGACGAGTAGAGCGAGGTTCCGCAACATGAACGACTTACATAAAACGGCATATGTGTTACATTTTCTAATTATGTACTTGTTTACTGCGATGATATACTTGATGCATGTTACTTACTTTAGGAATATTTTTATAAAACTTTGAAAACTATATAATTTAGGTAAATAAAACGCACTTTAAAAGTCTGCTCTCACTCTAATTGTAAGTGGAACCAAAATTACATCATCACTAATTTAACGTATTGAAGGTCATAGATTTCTATTCCTTCTACTTCAAGTGCCGATTGTTACTTTTCGTTCTGTTGTTCATATATTCGGTGATCGGTCAATGGAAAATGCTGGAAATTATTTTCAACTTTCTATTTTAACCGTTAGAGGGCGTAATTCGCTACGGTAAAGCAACAAATCACTTTTCACAATAATTGTATGATTATCGTAACACTTTTTGCTCTATTGAATAAAATAACGTAGGAGCGATTGGGAACCTTAATTTAATAAAACTATTATAACTACGGTGTCGTTTATCAGATTTTGAAAAACTTAAGTATCGATTTAAAGCAAATGTTTAGTAAAATATTTCAATGTAGTTTTGATTCAGTTGTTAAACGAGCACTAGGTTGCGTTGCTTAAACATTAACCATTTTTTCGAAGTTTTCTTGAAAATTTTAAATGGGATGTTATAATTTATATTCGCTCCGTGCGCGACTGCAGCGCCAATTCGATTTGGTACTAATGGACTATTTCTGCGTATACTGACAAATACAATTTTTAATAGAATTCGTAATTAAAAAGTATATATGTTAGTTTTAATAAAAGTATATGGATTTGTAAAACAAGTAAAACATTAATTTATTATAATTATATTTGTATCGCTTAATTTAAAGAAAATTATGTATTATCAATAAAAATCAATAATAAAATATAGGCAGGCAACAGTATTTACTGAAAAATGTATGAGAAGTTGCCTAAGTCTAATAAGTTGTTGAAGAATTAGGCTATTCTGTCAAAATAAAAAATACCATTTATAATAGCGTGTGAAGTTAAAATGTATCAAAAAAGGATCGTTGTTTATATTTTCATTTTTGTTCGAAAGAAAACATAGAATGTATGAATAAAACTGGTTTCCCATCAGTAAGTCACAAAATTGCATTCCAGCCACATATAATAATCAAAGGCAGAAATCTTGAAATCTAGTCCTTGCTGATTGAGCATTTAAGAATAAAGGGATATTAAAGAACATCGTAAAATGATAATTAATTATTTAAAACCTTACAAGTTTCTGATGTCTACTATTTCCAGCATTACTGTTATTATTACAAAAATAAAGGTAATTTTTCTTCTTATTGTACACCTATCCATTTATTTCTTTGATTTAATTGCCACTTTGTTACTGAAATTTTTTATACAAGTTTCACTGTTTTTTTGCTAGTATTTTTACTATTTTCAACACAGCTACTTCGGTTGCTTATTGTATTGTTTTTACCTACTTTTTTGAAAAGAAGTAAAATGTATACGTGTATGATATGCCAAAATTACAAAATATCGCCCTAAAATGCACGAATTATCCGCAGCTAGCGCTAGTATCGCTTTTGCTTCCCTTTCCATGACTTCGTACGGAGCGAATAAGTTATTTGAAAGGAGAATTCAATTTTGACAAGAAACAGTAAAAACCGGGTCTTATTATCTTTTTCCTAACGGAATATAAGCAAAAGTCTATTAATAAATAAAATTCTTTATATATTAATCTAGTTGGTGTTCGATTTTAGATGGTAAAATTATAGGTTCTATTATTTTTAATGAAAATTTATATAAGCGATATTTAAGATTACTGAGGGACGAATTGCCTGTTTTTTAAAAAATGCTTCAGTAGAGGTACACCGTATTTTGTGGATACAGCAGGATGGCTGCCCAGCACATTATACAAATGACGTAAAAGACTTTTTACATTTTCAACACTTCTACACCCTGTATAAACGCTGTGTGCTATATCTTTGAATTCAGCTTTTCATGGTGATGTACCATTAAAAGAAATTGTCGCCGACGTAATTACTCACACGTACACCACCTTGTATACATTACTTTTTGTTTATGTGGAGAATTTAAAATAAAAATCTACTACCTGTTTCAGGAATTTTCTTAAAAATTAATATTTTGGCTAAAAATTAATGTATTCACTACTTTACGAAAAGCACTGTACAAATTAATTTTAGGATAGAGAATGTCCGTTTCATGCTGAAAGTCCTAATAAGGATGAACTCGGTCCAAGAATGATGTTCTCTTAATAAGCAAAATCAAAGCTAAAGGGCTGACAATTATTTTTTTATTTCTTTGCAGATTTAATTCAATGCCTGTCGAGGTTAGCTGAAGGAGTAATTGTTTTTTGTGGGGAATCTGTAACTCGTATATTTTGTGACATTGCCTTTAAAATATCTTAGTTACGTCTTGGTCACATTTGAGTTTGTATTTTCCTTTAGAAAAAAAAAATTCACATTTTTCCATTGGTGTTGTGTTTCACAAAAGTTCTGGGATATACAAAATATAACAAAAAGAAAGATCAGTAATAAATATCAATTTAATTGATCTAATAAAATATATTGGTATAAAAGTAAACGATTTTTGAAATATTTTGGCAGATGAAAAATCTCTTCTGTCTTGTTTCGCCAAAGATGACAAAAAAAAACTAAAAAATCACAATTATACATAATCTAACGAAATGACTATCAAAACACTTTTAATTTAATTTTTATATTTCGTTAAAAATTGCCGCCTTAAATAATCTTAAAAAATATTTTACTCGTCACGTGACAAATCTCTAGGATTCATTGAAAAAAAAAAATGCTTATTTGATACATTGTAAACAAATTTTGTTTACGGAAATATTTTTTTTGTACTTAATATTTCTATATAATTGAAACCTTTGGTCAAACTAATAGTTCGCCCGTTTAGTAATAGCAATACGTTTTTTTTTAAATACAAATCAGCTGACATAACAAATAATATATCCGGAAAATTAAAATTTAAGATAACAAGAAACAATTGAAAAATTATAACACGATAAATGTATGCAAGGTACTTTTTATAAAAGAGTAGAACTGTCACAAAAAAAATATATATAAAACTGACAAAATACGAAAAAAAAAAAAACGATAAAACACTATAAAAGTTCAAATTCAAGTGGTAAGCATTTTACACTCTAATATCTATCATTCAATTCATTCAAGGGGTTGCTAGTGATGGTTAACAACACCCCTCATTTAGTTAACATTATTAACTGTTAACAAATTTGTTTATTGTCTAACATATGACAGACTACAAGTAAAATAAAAAAATATAAACTGAAAGCAAACACAACCAGTATAAAAGTAATTTAAAAAAAACCGACTCCAAAAACGAAGTTTATTTTTTCATAGATTCCATCATCAGATCTTGACCAAATTTATAAGGAACATCCGCAGAGGTACCCCCTTATAGAAACCACACAACGTGGTAAAGAATTATTGCTCAACATACATAAAAAAAATATACCCACGAATTGAGAACCTACTCCTTTTTTGAACTCGGTTGATAAAATAAAAATTTGTTGTGAAATTAGGAATATTAATTCTCTATATAAAATTTGTCTTAATTCTGAAATAACAAAATCCTGATTTTTGCGGCATTTCTACTTTTGGAATATTCAATAATTTTTTATCATTACTTCTAGACATTTTTTTAATCCTGCAGCAATGTTTTACGCTTTATAAATAACCTATTACCCACCCCAACAACCAGTAGCAAAGTTAAAATACATTTGCATCTGACCGAATTTTTTTAAGTGATGCTCATTTTAATAAACGTTCCATTTGAAGAAACTTGAGTGAACCAGTCGCTTCATCGTTCTGCTTCTTTTAACAAAATTTAATTTAAATTCTGATTTATTTCCTACAAGAGATGCGGCGCTCAAAGAGAAAACTGTTTAAGGGGCCGGATCGAGAGTGTCTTTGAGACGGCGCATCATATGTGATCCGATGTCTCTTACTTCTGGCCACTGGCGCAGTATGAAAGCCACTCCTACAACTAGTATAACTGTAGAAAGGATCCTCAACCTAAAAAAAAATAAAGCGATATGTAGTTTGAAGACGACAATAAACGATAAATTATTTCAATCAATATCTGAAATACAGTGCTTATTTTTTCGTGTTAGGCATGGATAAAATGGCAACAGCCAGTCGTCCGGTCGACTAGACTTACGTAGGCATACTTTCAAAACCTCCTGAGTCTGTTTTTACTGTTTACGAGGTTTTGATTCAGATTTAAAATATTATTATTTAACATCCTGCAACGACTTAGAAGGTTTCAATATCGTCCAATGGATGTTGCTACAATCAAATTAAAATTTAGAAGCTTTTGCAGGATGTTAAATAGTAATATTTTAAATCTGTTTGTATCAAAACCTCATAAACAGTAAAAAACGGACTTAGGAGGTTTTTAAAGTAAGCCGACGATTAGTGGTGGTGGGATATTAGCCGAACCGAATATCAGTGACTAAACCAGAGAACATATTAATAGCGGGGATATTGTAGTTGCCACATGTTCGCTGTAAAAGCACGGCTATGCCTAATACAAAATAATAAGTACTGTATATACCATTTAGTTTTTATTCAAATCTGTCTTGGCCATTACAATTTTACACATTTCACTGTATATAGTATTCTAGACGGCGATATAATAGAATGATCCCTGGGGAAAATTACTCGATTTTGTTCTATCACTGTTCTATCGTTAATTTTAAGTTGTATTTTTTAATAGTACGAAGAAAAAAGATTCCTCGTAGAAATCATTTGCTTTGTTGCCAAAGTACTTAACCAATCAAAACGAAGAATATAGACAAAGAAAAAAATATTCCGATGAACTGAGAACCTCCTCCTTTTTTGAAGTCGGTTAACAAAGATACAAAATGTAAATCAAGCTTAAAATAACATTGTTATTGAAGAAAAGTCATTTTAAGCTTAGCTTAATTCTTAACGACTAGCGGTGTCTTTCATATCACTGACATTGTTTTTTTCAATAAATGGAAATAATGGATAAGCAGAGAACCCCAAAAGTAGGTAACCCAATATCGTTCCAACAAAAAAGAAATGTTGGTGGATTTTGTATTAACAGGACCTGATTTGAGGGCCACAACGCAGGACCTCATGACTAACATTTCCACTGAAAATTATATTTTATGATAATCTCGTTTAAAACATTTCTACTGTATACGGGAAATATTACAATTTTTAAACAAAACATGAGTAAATAGTCCTATTATAGAGTAAAATGGATTGTTCTATGCACTTCTGAATCGTTGATTTTGTGATTTTAACGAGGTCCTGCTTTGTGGCCCCTTCGTATTTTGTAACATTTAACATATTTACCAACTAGATGTAATTATTTTTGGCAGAGTAATTTTTCATAATTTTTATAAAATATTTATATCAGCATGTGTTGATGTGGCAATTTTGATATAGAAACAAGTGCACTTGAAAGGTTAAGTTATATATTGCGCTATTGATAAGATTCTCAGCATCTATAATCCGCTGGCGCAATGAGCCTGTTTAGTATAAAAAAGTAAAAACTTCTGTTTCATACAATAAATACTTTCAATAATTAACAATAAAGTTACAGAGCATTAAAAAGTTCGCTTTTAAATCGATAATTTAAAATTCATTATTTATGCGCCATTTTGTCGTTAAAGAATCGGTTGTACTATAATAGACAGTTCTACTAATAAGACAAAGCTCGAGAGGGTGCCACTCCACCTCAGCTACCTCAGTATACGGAACAGGAAGATCGACAGAAACTACCCTGGTACAGCTGACTGATGAAATCCAGGATGCACTGACATGTATGCCTTCTTAGACATTGAAGGAGCGTTTGACAACACGCCACACGAATCTGTTAAAAGAAGAGTGGATAGCACCACATCTAGATGGATAGCTCAGCTGCTATATACGAGAACTGCAAAGACACAGATAGGGCAGGACACCATCTCCATCTGCACAACCAGAGGATGTACACAAGGAGGAGTTCTATGCCCACTAATGTAGAGCCTAACCGTAGACACACTTCTATATAAATTGACTTGACTCAACATAGTCATAATTGCTAGAGGCTAGTTTGAAAATATCCTGTATGATATAGTCCAAAAAGAACACTCCAAAAGATGGTGCCGCACCGAAATAACACTAGTAGACTTTTCAAGGAAAAGAAATCGTCAAATTAGACGGGATAGATATAGAATGAAAAAAAGTCAAATATCTAGGCTAACCCTGGACTTCTCTAGAACATACATGAGAAGGAAGTAGAATAAGGCCACAAAAATCCCAATGGTATGTAGAAACATTGTGGGTAAAAGATGGGGATGCAAACCAAACTCACTGTGATGGATGTATACAGTGAGACCAATCATTACTTACGAAACTGTCGTCTGGAGTTACAAAATTAGTTGTGAGGATTGGGCAGTAGATTAACCAATAATTGGAACAATCTCTTGGAGTGAGTATCTGAGATGTTACTGACCGAGCATTTACCTATTACTATGAGTAAACCTCTGAAAAACTCATAGCAAGTCAGGCGATAGTGGAGCTCGAACCCACGACCTGCCGAATGCGAGATACATGCGTTACCGCGGAGCCACCTCGCTCGGTACTTAAAACAGAAACTCCTATCGTGCTTTTATGTGTGAAGATCATTTTGATGTAAGTAAAGATACCTGTTTATTTTTGTTTGTTTTAAATTGGATCACTTTATAAAACATAGTTGATTAACTTTGTAGGTCAATGTACCTTCTTACTTAACAATAAGTCCGTGGGCGCTAATAATTTTTTTGGAATTTAAAAAAATTACTGCATGAAAATTTGAAATGGGAAATATTTTAAAAATTATTTTTTGATTAGGTTTTGTTCTAATAGAAAAAAAAAATGAATTTCACTAAACGCCCATTGTTACGCCATTATATAAAATAATATAATTATTATATAGTATAGGTATTTAGATAATACCGTTATAATATTGTAGCCGGTTCTACATACTGTAATTTTTTTTTGTGAGATCGGCATCGCCTACTAAGGCCATTAGCCTCGTGTTCTGTGTAGGCTTTGTTACTGTTTCCCAGCGCCACTTTAGGAACAGCACTGTTAATTGGAACCCAACAGAGAATGGTCGCGTAGGGAATCCTACCAAGGCATCAGAATTAATTTTAAATAATTAAATTAAATAAAAAAATCCCGGCCAACGGTGAGATTCGAACCTGGGACTCTTGGTTCCACAGGCAGATACTCTACCACTGAGCCACCCACCCCTCTTTACCGTATTTAAAAATATATTCATTATTATAAAATTACCTTCATCAACAATGGACCCAAGAGGTATCTTTCGTCAAAGTGAATTTAGTAAATAGCTTCTATATAATACTTAGTTTACACTCATTTTTAGAATACAAATAAGTTTTATTTAATGTAATTGTTACTTCATTGATCACTTGACATTTTGAATTTAATACAGATTCTTATTGAATTATAATAAATACACAAAAGATACTAATAGTAGTTTGTGCAACAAGTGTGGATATGATGGCCACTAGAGTTGTACTGTATATTTTTTCTACGACCCACTAACGAAAATCTAAAATTTTTAAAAATTATTTTAGGTTATTTTTATGACTTTTACTTATTTATACAGTGTGTCCACTTAAGTTAGTAGCATATGGGAAACTTTTTTATTATTAACTTTACGAAAAAAGTTATAAAAAGTTCGCCTTGGTCTGAAACCTAAAATGCAACTATCAGATATCACATTTTTACAATAGTATACGAGGTATGTCAAATAATATGAATTTTTCTAAAAAGTAAAGTACCTTTATTTTTAACAAACCTCGTATATGACTCATAAAATTTTTTTACGAAGAATACATTTTTTTCCTAAAATTAATAATAAAAAAGTTTTCCATATGCCGCTGTCTACGTAAGTAATTCTTCATAAAAAATTCTTTATGACCTAAAACCTAAAATTCAATCATCTGATACCAAATTTTATCAGTCATATACGATAGTCCAAGAGCCAGTGACACACATTTCATTAAGTGTTTGATGCACTTTGAAATTTTGTAATTTGAAATCATTTGGATGGAAAAGCAGATATACCTGTGTTGGTTTGACCCACCCCGGAACACCAGGTACTGCGCATAATAGAAAGGGGTCGTAAAATATGACCCAAAAAAAGTGTTTGATTCACGCTCAAATTTTAATAGCGTCTTAATTATATATTAAAAAAATTAATTCCAAAAAGGCAGACACTTTTTTCGGGGTTTTAATTGCCGGCCAACATAAAAAAGTCTTATCGCTGATCACCCTACAGCTGTATCGGCCGTTCATACAAGGGAAGTGCAACCAACTTGACAAAATAAAATTGACACTAATGACATAAGAAATCGGGTCACATAAAGAGGCTGTTTTTTTGTTAAATTTTTAATTTTTCTTATCTACTTTTATGTCGTTTAGATACCATGTTGTACCCGTAATGTAAAAAAGACTTTTAATTTTAGGGAATTTTACATTTAAAGGTTGAAAACATTTGTCACTATCAGCTGTGGATAATATCAAAACATAGGCGTAGCAGTGCATTTGATTTTTTGTTGTTAATAGTCTATTTGTGTTTCTCCCGCTTTATAAAACATTTTTTTTTTTTTTTTTTTTTTCATTTGGTTTTATTTATTTATGTCGATTGCAAGATGCTGCTGCTACGAATACAAGTTCTATACAATATACAACCAACATACAATACTAGTTACATTATGCCCATCTATGGTTACGCCTGTGTTCTACCAACAACATAATTGACAGCTGACGATGACAAAATGTTTCAACCTTTAAATGTAAAATAACCTAAACTAAAAAGTCTTTTTCACGTTACGGGTACAACAAGGTATGCAAATGGCATGAAAGTAGATAGGAAATACCATAAAGCAAACTAAAAAACAGCCTCTTTATGTGACCCGATTTCTTATGTCATTAGTGTCAATTTTATTTTGTCAAGTTGGTTGCACTTCCCTTGTATGAACGGCCGA